GCAGTTAGTCCCCAAGCTCTCAGTCTGCTCCACTCCGGAGAAAGAGATGTTACTGATAGTGACTCAAATCTTACATTGAACTTGCTTTACACAGGCTGGGTGTGGTGTGCAGGCCTGTAATCCCAGCACTCTGGGAGGCTGAGGCAGGAGGATCACAAGTTGGAGTCCAGCCTGAGCAAATTTGACTCAGCGAGGTCCTGTCTCAGATTTATAAAAGTGCTGGGGATAGGGATGTAGCAAGGGCACTGGGTTCATTCCCTAGTATCACCAAATGCCAACCAAACAAAACCCTTGCCATCCCCACGGTGCAGCAGAGTTTATCAAGGTTCTTCAGCTGGGTAGAGCCGGGTGCTCGTCATCCGCCGCGCACACTCCCTGGCTCTGCGGCAGGCCGGAGGGACAGGTGCTCCAGTTCTGCCAGGAGACTGTGGGCTACCTTGAGTGTCTGCCCCGGGCCCCTACAGTGTGCCCTTTCCATTTTAGAACCTGTGACAACCTGAACCCCAGCCGGCAGGCGAGGAGGCAGTTCTGGTTCTGGTTCCCGGCAGCAGAGCGTCAGGACAGCAGAGTGGCCCTGAGCCCTGTCAATGACTTGAGGCCCAGGGCGCCAGTGTCTTCTCTCAAGGCCTTTTCACTGTTTTGTTTTTTGTTTTTTGGGGGGGTTTGGTTTTTTTCCGGTACTGGGTATCGAACACTTGAGTGTGTGCTTGTCAGGCAGGTGCTGTGCCGCTGAGCTAAATCCCCAGCCCCCTTTTCACGTTGAGTCTGCTAGAGCAAAGCGGCCTCATCCCAACCACATGCAGAGTGGAAGAAATTTTTCAAAGGGCAACCAGAAAAGTAACTGAATTGCAGACTTAGATGCTGTTCTTCTCTGGACTCACTGAGAAATCTGTAACTTGCCTTCAGATTTTGGGGTGGGGCGGTACTAGGAATTAAACTCACGGCCTTCCCACTGAGCAACGTCCTCGCCCCTTTTATTTTTAGACAGGATCTCGCTAAGCTGCCCAGGCTGGCCTTGAATTTGCAATTTTCCTGCCTCAGCACCGTAACCAGAATTACAAGTGTATGCCACCACACCTGGCTTAAAATGCGCATTATTTTTAAATGCCTCACCAGGTAGCTCCATTCCAGGTATACCCTTGCCCATGCAAAGAGTATTTATATCCTTATGTGTTTTCTCAACCAGCGGATACAAGTGCAGCCTGTACCAGAAGTTCTACAAAACTTTCTCTTGGTATTAATAAAAGGTCTTGTAAAAGGCATTTATTCCATGCTGGGCTTATGTCCCAGCCAGTTTATGTTATTCTCACTCTTAGCGATCACTGTAAGGCCACTGTCTTTGAGTCCATATTTATGTTTTTGTTATCAATTTAAAATATTAGATAAGGTATGATATAAAAATGCAATCTTAGCTGGGCATGATGGTGCATGCCTATAATTCCAGCACTCTGGAGGCAGAGGCAGGAGGATTGCTGCTGAGTTCGAGGTCAGCCTGGGCTACACAGTGAGTTCAAGGCCAGCCTGGACTACACAGTGAGACTTTGTCTCAAAAAAACCCAACCCAAACCAAACACCCCAAGAAATAATCTTGTGACATTTGTTGTTTTTTGAAAAAGGTAAAATCGGGAAAGAATGAAGTCTGTTGTAAGTGGTAAATGTAAGGAAAAGACTTAAAACTATTCATTTTTAAATCATTGGCTGTTTTAAGCAATAAAATGTCTCATGGTTTGTATAAAATAGTATATGATGTAGTACAAATATTGTGTTCTATTTATGTCAGATAAAAAACAGGGTCATTTCATACTGGAAAAAGGATTAATTCATCAAAACACAATAATCCTAAATGCATATGCATACTAATAACAAAATGCCATGAAATGAAAAACTGACAAGAGAGCTGGACACAGTGGCATACTCCTGTAACCCAGGGCTCCAGGAGGCTGAGGCAGGAAAGTGCACTTCCAGCCCAGCCTGAGAAACTGAGCAATTTTATTTTGGAGATTTTGCTAGTCACTGAGTTAACTGATAGACATGACCAAAAGCAAAACAAAAAACCAAATTAGTAAGGCTATAGATCTGAGCAACTATCAACTGAGTTAATGCACTACGTATTTATAGAACAAAAAGGCCCCTAACTGCAGAACATAGTTTTCATAGCAGGAATAATCTCCAGTCCATAGTGCACCTGGAACATTCAAGATTAGACAGCTCAGGCACTGGGTCTTAACAGATTTTCAAGGAGCAGGCACTCTAACTGGGTTAGAAATCAGCTAAAAGGGTCTATCACCCCTACATGTGTAGAATCAAACAAATCACCTCTACATCACGTAGGGGACAGAGAAGAAATCATGAGAAGAAAATAGGCTGACGATGAAAAAAATCTACATGCAGTACTAAAGGGAAATGTGTAATTTTAAATGCTTTCATTAACAAGGTTTAAATGCATCACCTGAGCTTCAAAAAAGTCATGGAAGAGCAAGGGAAAGTCCAATGGAATAATAAAGATGAGCGCCTATGCAATAAAACAGAAAAAGGGAACGAACAAAGCCAGGAAGTTGGTCCTTTGCACAGGTTTTCGAGTGGTTAAACTCTCAGCAGACGGGTTGGACGAAGCTATGCAGAAAGCAGGGACATTACTACAGATCTCACCATTGCTATGAGGATAACCAAAGAATAGTCTGAGCATGTTTGTGTCAAAAATACTGTAGTTACATGGAACGGACGAACTTCTTGCCAAATCTGACACAAGAGCTACATGCTGGCTTCAGAGATCGAATGTGTGATATGAAACTGTCCCCCAAGATGACACAAACTCTAGGACCAGAGGACATTGATGAATTTTTCAAAGTATTAAAAGAATCAACACCAACCTTACTATAAAGTCCTCTAGGAACCAGGATGGAGGGAGATCCCTTTCCCAGTCATTTTATGAGGCCAGCTTAACCCGAATACCCAAGTCTGGCAAGGCTGCTGTAAGAAAATGAAAGACGATGCACACCACAAGCGCAGAGATCCAAGGGCACCGACACCGCGTTAGCAGACGTTGGGGTCCGAACGTTCCCTTCAGTGAACGTTAAGACTCAACGACTAACTGCGGTTTCTTTGCCACGAGGGGCCTTGAACCCAGGACCTGTGCCTTTGTACCTGCCATGAGCCAGCAGGGCTCTGCCACGAGCCGGTCCCAGCCTGGACCTGCCGCCAGGAGGCAGGAAAGGGCAGGAGCTGCGGGAGGTGATGGGGCCGGACCAGGAACCTCCTCACGCGTGCAGGAGCCCAGCCTGGCGCTCCCATTGCCCCTTCTGTGACGGAATGTGCCCTACTAGGTGGTGGCGTCATGTTCTTGGCCTTCCAGCCTCGAGAACTGTTCTACTGTCTGCCAAGGACACAGTGTTACAGCAGCAGAAAACAGAGAACAGCAAATCAAACCGCAACCAGAGCACATGAGAATGAGGGGGTTTACTGCAGGACTGCAATGGTTTTACCTTAAAAAACCCACGTGAAACCAGGCATGATGGCACATGCCTAATCCAGCATTCAGGGGGCTGAGGCAGGAGGACTGCAAGTTCCAGCACAGCATGGGCAAAATAAACCCCATTTCAAAATTTAAAAAGCGGGCTGTAGATACAGCTCAGTATGAAGGACTTGGGATCAATCCCCAGCATACGCCGGGCATGATGGCGCACACCTGTAATTCCAGCACTCGGGAGGCTGAGGCAGGAGGATCATTGAGTTCGAGACCAGCCTGGGCTACAAAGTGAGCTCAAGGCCAGCCTGCACTGCATAGCAAGACCCTGTCTCAAAGACAAAAAAAGAGGAAATCCCCAGTACAAGAAAACCAACACAAAAACCAAACTACACATTTGATTATCTCAGGAAAAGGGGAGATATTTTAAAAATTGTATTTGTGGGGCTGGGGTTGCAGCTCCGTGGTGGGGCACCTGCTGCATTGTAAAGCTGGAGGAATCAAGGCAATGTGCTACTAGTGCAAGGGTCAGTGAATGAAGAGTTCATGAAAGACCCATATTCATATGGTCAATTTGCTCTCAACAGGATCTAAGAAAATGACTACCGAGATAAAACACTTCTACCTCCCCATGTCACCATTAAGAAAACGAAGAGTTGGGGCTGGGGATTTAGCTCAGCGGCAAAGCGCCTGCCTGGCAAGCGCAAGGTCATGAGTTCGGTTCCCGATACCGGAAAAAAAAACCAACCCCCCCGCCCCCCCAAAAACCCGAAGAGGCCGCCACAGACTGGCCGAAGTGCTAGCAATACTGTATCTGTAAGAAATGACTCCTGCCATAGGCTAATGAGAAAATGACCACAGTCAGACGTGGTGGCATGTCTGTAATCCTAGCACCCAGGAGGCTGAGGTAGGAGGATCATTATGAGTTCAAGGCCAGCCTGGGCTACATAGTGTGAGACCCTGTCTCAAAAAAACCAAACAAAGGAGATTTAAACATTTCAGAAGAAAACATCACCAGTGAGTGTATGAAAAGAGGTTAAACATTACTCATCACACAAATTACAAGCACAGTGAGATGATGTCTATTTCACATCCATCAGAGTGGTTAAAATTAAAGACACTAAATAGTGTCCAAAGTGAAAGTCTCGTAACTGCTGGCGGGGGGTGAAGTGGTCCGCACTGCCAGTTCGGAAGACACGCTGGCGATTTCTCATAAACACGAACGTACCTAGTGTACAGCAACTCCACTCCTAGTCAAGGAGAAAGGAGCAAGTATGTACACAACACCCGAGGCATTTCACTAGCGCAACGGCCAGCGAGCGAGGGTGCCCTCGGCGGAGGAAGGTAGGGAAACTGGCACCTTTCGCGGTGGCAGAGGCCGCACAGAGGCTGAGCAGCCAGGCATGAGAAAGAGAAAGGGCGCACTGTACAACTCCATGTGTGTGGAATTCCCGGCCAAAAATGAATACAGGACAACAGAAATGAGAGAAATGGCAGGGACAGGGGGATGAATGCACCGGACAGAGGCAGCAGGGAATTTCCTGGAATTGAAAAAACATTTTATTACGGGTTATACAAATTATACAGATGTCAAAAATGACTGAACGGCAACTCTAAAATCTGTGCCCTTTCCAGTCTACATGCCCCAGCTGAATACAAACCACTTTACCTGACAGTGCCTGCTATGAAAACCTGACCCGTCAGGAGGCGCTGCAGCATCCAGGAACAGCCTCTCCAGAGGCGGAGAACCTCGCCCCACCTCCGGGTCCTGCCGTGCGCTCTTCACCGTGAAACCGCAACAGCTCTGTTCTGGGGTTTCTCTACCCTGAATTTCTTCTTCAGTAAGAACACGGTTTCTCATGCTCCATTTTTGTGCATTAGAACTTAGCAGTCACCCTAAAGACAGTCCAAGCACTCAACTCTTCAAATACAAAAGATGCTGCGGTGAGCCGCCTCGTCCAGACCCACCTCGAGAATTACACTGTGTGACGCACGCGTTAGCAGCTTAACTTTGAACAGCACACCCTCTACAGAGCATTTTCAAATTCCAAAGTGGCTCGGCTGCTGCTCCATGGATGGTGCCGTTTCTCGTTGAAGTGCGTTGGTCTTTGCTGCTGGTGCATTTCTGTGGGGACCTATTCTAGGAGCTATATTGATGATTTATAGAATTGGGACATTCCAAAAACTTATACCTTAAAAAATGCAATTAGTGAAAGGCACAAATATATTCCTGGGGTACTGCAGTAAATCTGTGGCAGAGCTTGTTACAATAAGTAGAGTTTAAAATACTTAAATAACACAGAAACACTTTGTTATGTAGGAAAAATTTTATTTGATAAATATAACTTCATAAACTTTAAAAAAATACTGAGCACTGTACATTAAGTATACTACAGTTACTGACAATGCAGAGAATTTTTAAAGGGTTAGGTTAGACAGCCACAGTATCTGAGGTCCAAAGTTTTAACTAAGTATTGCTACATACCTCCAGCTAGTCATTGTTCATAAAAATCTATCACCATTATTACAAACACATCATCAGTCATCACCTGTTTTTATAGGAGTATCATTCAGGTTATCTTACATATCAAACAGCATTTTAATGCTTTATTTTTATGAAAATAGATGACTCATTTTAAGATAGAAATAAAAATGTCCATAAAGGGGGACTAAAATTAATAAACATGTTCTACATAAAACTCTTTGGTTCATTAGTCTTATCGGTACCTGCCTTTGAAAAAATTCCCTGTAATGATTGGCTTTTACAGGGAAACCACAAACACGAAAGATTCCTCCTTTCCCTCAGCCCCTGGATGTTCACAGTATGAACTGTAACAACTTCTGCTCCTCGCTAGGTTTTAGTGGCCTTTACTGCTGCCTGCCGGGGTCTCAAGCTCACCAGACAAGTTCAATTCCACCCCTTCTGCAGTGGAAGTGAGCTCAGTGTTGGAACTAACAGGGCTGAGAGCACACCGTTCCCTGGGGGGCTGCCCGTTCTCATTTGCTACTCAGACAGCGAGGGTCGGGCGGACACCACAGCTGTCCGAGCCGCGGGGCGCAGTTAAGAACCTCAGGCCCCGAATTCCCCCTCAGCCGCAAGCAAAGCCTGGCGGAGCAGCTCTCCTCCCAGACGGGCCCACGCGGCCGGAGCTGAGCAGGATGCTGAGTCACCTGCCTGCAGCAGGGCACGGGCAGCTGCGGACACAAACTTGGGGTTCTTATCTCGCAGTGCCCCAGCCCTCCCACTGGCGAAGGCAAGCGAGTGGGGCTCACAGATGCGAGAGCACTGCGTATCTGGCAGTGACACCCGGAGCGCCTTACTCTGGTTCTGGCAGATAGAAGTTGGTTACCAGCATGTACTCTCCAAAGAATTTGAAAGAAATAATGCAAAAAAGAGAACTTTTCTGTGACTACTGATCATGGAGTAAAGTTTTGTAACATGGATATGAGTACTAGAAAACTATGGAAGGTTTGTAAACTGCAGTGTTCCTTTCGTGAGTAAAAGAAAATCCTTCTCCTAAAAGGACAAGACAGTGAAGTTTTGAGCAGTAAAGCAGGAGGGGCCTGGAGCGCGTCAGTGACCGATTTCGGCGCTGGGGACTGAGCGCGGGGCCTCGCGCACTCTGCAAGCCCCCCCCACTGACTCACAGCCTCACCTGTCTGTTTAAAAAAACTTCTTTTAAATAAACAGGGCTGGGGACGTAGCTCAGGAGTTGAGTGCCTGCTCGGTACGTGCAAGGCCCGGACTTGAGGCCCTACACCAGGGGAGAAGCTCCCCTGTCTAGCTGCAGCGGTAGGGGGGGAGTTCCGACCGTCACATCGCTGCGCCTGTGAGGCCTGCGGGCTCCTGCTGCAGCTGGCCCAGGCCACTTGCTGACTCTGGTGTGGTGGCCGGCTCACCTGATGGCACAGGAACACTGTTAAGGCAGGTGTGATGCAGGCCCACTGGACGGCATTTCCAGCGTTTTTTAAAGATGAAGTCTTACTACGGGGTCCAGGCTGGCTTCAAACTTATGACTGTCCAGCTTTTGCCTCCTGAGTGCTGGGGGTTCAGGTGTGGGCTACATGCCTGGCTGTCACCTTGTACACGTTCACTTCAGAAGACACTAAGAGAAAGCAAATCCCATATTCTCCTCTACTAAACTGTTCTACTGACTATTTCTGCGCTAATTCCCCTCTGGAACACGTGTCAGTGAGTGTACGTATTGTATATTGTACTATCTATCCCTCTAATGTATTTCCTGAATAAAGGATCTTCCTAAACCTAACTCTGGAATATCCAAGAACAGCTGTTTGTGAAAATTAATATTTAGCCTGAACAGATAATGCAGCATGTGCATTACTCAAAGACAAATGGCATACAAGCAAGCAAACAACACAGGCAAGGTCTTAGGTCCCGCCCTACCAGCCCAAGTCTCAAAGTTATGCTCACGAGGTGGGAAGGCAATGAAGAGCTGGACAACGGCTCTCCAGAAAGGAGTCACATCCCGAAGAGACAATGGGGCCAAACTTCATTTAACTGTTCTCTTACAATTTTTATAGTGTATGATCCTTATGTGCTGAGTAGATGAACATTCTTAAACTAATGATCACTTCCAGGTCTTAAAACAAACGACAACCCAAATTCAAGATGGAAATTAAGTTTTGAGATGCAAGCAGTTAACTACACTGACATGTTCCTGATTCGTCACTCTTCGCATTTTAATTTATTGCTGTTAAAACTTTAGACTCTGTTTCATTTACATTTCACAGTCACACCTGACCACATACCTTGTGATGGGACGCGGGGCAGAATTTACCTTACTGCGGTAGTCTGCAGTAATTTAGGTAACATATGCTAACTGAAAAATAAGATTCTTCACAGAAGCCCTTTACCCTAAAATTTAGCTGACAGAAGGGCAGCAGTAATTCTAAGTTGGTCACAAAGAGGTGCTCCCCTCCGATTATGGATCCAATTAACCATTTTAACTTCTATAATTAAAACTATTTGCAATATATAAATACTGTCCAAACTGGTTTTTTATTGATATAGCTCAATTTTATAACAGTGTCATAAAATACTATTATAAACAGAGCCTTTGGAAGAGAGAAAACCCAAATTTGTATTAGCCGGGTTAAAGCATGCCAAAGAGCCAATGATAAAGACATTTAATTAATAATATGCTATCTAATCTACCCAGTGTAGGCTTTTTATACTAGGGCAAAAAATAGTAAACATCACTTTGAAATTTGGTGACGGGCCCTGGTTTCTGATGCCCACCTGTGATACACCCTCACGCACACGGCTTCCTGGCTGGCCACAGCGCGTCTGGAGAAACCTGGCGCTGCAGTTGGTAACGGGGGGAAATGTGTTCTCCTAGTTTGCTCCGTGAACTGAAAACGCACTCATCAATTAACAACACAAGTCGCTGAGGTACCAAAATTCCTTATATTCACATTAATTTTCCCCACGAAAAGCTTTAAATATAACTCTAATAAAAAAATAGAGTTCTCAAGACAAACTCTCAGCATAATTTACAGAAGCAAATTTAAATATAAGTCAATAACCAATCCGATCCTAAAAAATACACATAAGCAGGAGTCATCTCTTTCTATCTTGACATTAAAATACAGCGGCCTCAGCAACACGCCGAAATGCTGTTATGAGTCCCGTATGCACAGGGACAACCCAGACAGAAAGAACCATGCTGTCTCGTTAGTCACGAATTCCGGCATGTTCACACTCAAATTAAGGGGAGAGGAGAAGGGTTCATATTAACGTTTCTGTTTGTTTGTCAAACAAAATGGGAGTGGGTCGAACTACTCCAGAGATTTCAGAGAGTGACTTCAGAGCTAGAGCGGCCATTTATAGGACCATCAGCCCTGAATCTGAGCAAAGGAGGTGAAATAGCTCTACAAGCACTACTGCCCCGTTAGCAAGTAGATGAGTCCATTGTGGAGAGAGTCAAGACGCTCCTGTCGTTGGTACAGAAAGGATCCGAGGCACTCCATGATCTAGAGTAACAATAAGAGAAAAGTTTGGCTCACCAGGGCCTATGTTTTAATTGAGAAAAAAACCGAGTCTTAAAACTTAGTACTGAAATACAATGAGTTTTAAAATAATTACGGATTCATTTTGAAATGCTAAAGAGAAGTTCTTCACACCAGCACTGAATGCCCAGTCTATTTACAGTTTACAAAAACTTCGGAAGATTATGCTCTAGTTATCATATAAAAATATTTGCCAAAATTCAGGCATTCTTTTTAGCATTAAAACATCATCTGTAGGTAGTTAAATATGAGCTGCTTTTAAAATCTTAATGATCCACAAAGAAGTATGTTTTAAAGATGTACACACATACAGTTTTACTGAAAAGCAACTAGGCTATATGTTGGCATTACAGGGAAAAAAAAAAAGCAAATAAACCAAAATTCCCACTTACCAAAAGCCTTGGAATGAAATAGCATGTTCACATTACTGGTCACATACTGCAGCTACAAATTCTGCACTAGATATTTTAGCCTAATCAGCTTGAATGAAGTAAATGGTTTACTCAAAGATAACACAGACACTTGCAGGGCACTGGCACTTTTACTGAACTAAGGAAAAATGATCCTTGACTGGTTTGGAAAAGTAAACTACTATCTGAGCGAAAAGGCCTTAAGCAATCCAACAGGTAGTACTTTATTTGCAGCTGTAAATTTAAATTGGCTTCAACTAATTTAAACTAAAATAGCACATGACCAAAAGTAGCTTGCCATGCTTAAAACAGACTAGCTCAAGGACAGCGTCAGATCAAGGAAAAGGTGGCTTTTCTTATGCAATTAACAGCACTCAGTGATAAGCGTGTTTCACGTTAAGGGAGGACACACGCTCTGAAGAGGTGTCAGAGAGAGCTGGCGTTCAGAAGGCCGCACGGGCTCTTCACCAAATGTCTTGTTTTCTACAGACCCTCGGTGTCTGGGGCAATTCAGGTTGGACGCAGCGCAGGGCGCAGCCATGGCCAAGTCTGCGATGAGGAACACCACAGAGCCGGGCGAGCCCCAGCGCCTGCACAGCTCTCTACCTGCCCTGGCTTCCGGAACAGCCTGGACAGGGACAGCGCGCCTGTTCCCTTCTGCCGCTCCAGCACCTGCAACTGTGTCCTGCGTGCATCAGGCACCCAGCATTTGTAGAATAAATGACTAAAATAAGAATATGGAGAATTTGTACACTGTAAGTATTGGGGGGGGGACTATGTTTTTAACTATAACTTAATTGCAAACACCCTATCTGGAGCCAAAGTCTAAATTGCTAGTATTTTATATTAGTTTTTCCCTTTTCCACCCATTCCTTACACTGAAGAAAGCTTTTTTTTGATGCTACTGGGGACTGAACCCAGCACCTCATGTATGTGAGACAAGTGCTCCACTACTGAGCTACCTCCCCAGCTGAAGAAAACTCATTCCGTTTTCCTTTATGTCTCATCTTTTCAAAGAACACACGTGCACTCAATGTTGTTATCATTTTTGACAGACATTAAACACCTGAACTTGTATATTAACTCCTTCCTTCTGTCCTATGTCAAAGGTCATTTTGATTAGAATACTGTACTATTAGTACAATATGTATAGAAAATCTTCACTGCTGCAGTACAGCTCTTTAGGGTACAGCATGGCATATCCTTATATAGCACCGTGCTGCTCCCCTGGAAGCTGAGCTTTCAATATGGCATATTCCTTTGAAAACATCAAATACTAAAATGTAAGTAAAACTTTTTTGTCTAGATAAGAATTTAAGCAGTAGAGAAATCTGTCATATAAAATCCCTGTTGTATTTCTCCAATGATGCCCATTACTTCTGTATGTCAAAAGAACAAGCAGCCAAGGGCTTCTGCACCGTGTCACGGAGTCTCAGATCTGTCCCGTCCTCCAATTCGACACGAAACAGAAATGCAGGACACAGGCTGCTTGAAAACCAACACGCAAACCCCAAACACACTGCACAAGTACACTCTTCTGCAGGACACAGAAGCAAGACTACACGCCAGAACGACTAACTACATGTTCACATAGCCCTTTGAAAAGCACCAAGTAGCCCTGTGTACTGTACGATTTTATCCCCTAGGAAACTTTTAACAGTAACTGATCTCAAAAGACTTTAGAATCATCTACAGAAAAAGGAGAAAAATGACGAAAGTCATTAATACTGTAACCTGTAATGCTGGACAACACTGCAAAGGCATTTATAATCTGCCAGATACGTTACTTAATTACTAAGTTAAACATTTTATCAGAAAAACATCTTAGAAAGAGTATGGCACACGAGAGAAGAGAAGTAGAGATGGCAAGAGCCCCTCAAGGGAGTTTTCCAGAGCCGCCAACAGCGCCCAGGCCGGCTCGCAAGGGCGGCCACAGAACGAGAGCCGCTGCGAGGTGATGGGGCACGGAGGCTTGTGGTTTATAGCAAAGAGCTGGGAGCACGCACAAAGCGAAAACACCCTGGCTGTTTTAAAATTAATCTAGGTTTTAAATAAATCATTAGCAAAGATATACACTGTTATTGAAGAGGAATTGATGTTGAACTAGAAATTTTTAAAATTCTGTAGTTCTTATCATAGTATCTTAGTCTGTTTCCCATTCTGGACTGTGTGGGGAAGCCGTGTTATCTAAAACAACACGGTGTGTCAGATCCTTCTGGAACATCACGAGCCCAGGGACGGGAAACTCACTAGCCTAGGTACATGAAAGAGCTACTTTTTTATAGTGCATTTTATAATACAACTGTGTAAGACATAACAAAATCTCATTAAATTTAACCATGCACAGTAATCCTTTGATGTGGGATGAACTTACTCCAAAATGGTATCACAGTATTATGGAACTATTTTGAATCACATGTTATAATCAAGTCAGAATAAGTGGGGATTGAAACCATAGGTATTATGTTAACATAAAAATGCTATTTATCAACTTAACTGTACCATAAAGACATGGCCAAAAGTAAAGTGAGGCCCAAGAGTTCACCAATAAAAGTTACCCACATTTTAATACACAAATGATATCATACTCATCCTTTTTTTAAAACACAAAGGTAACCAAACATTAAAACAATTTTTTTATCAATAGATTAAATTCCGTGTTCCGTGCCTCAAGGAATGAAGCTTTGTAAGCAGTGGTACGCACAGAAAGTGGTGCACGGAATGTGGCACCGGTCCGGGAAAATGGTCATCTACATCAGCCCGCGCCCACTGTAACCCTCCACGTACCCCAGGGAAACACGGCTTCTGTTTTGTGAATATGATATCATTCGCCTAACCAACACCAAATGCAAAGTGTTTACTTACTTTGCAGTGTCCCCTCAATAATGACATACACCTCGGGCAACCATATGAAGAAATGAATCCATTTACCTTTAAGTGATTTTTAAATGGCATTTACCAAAAATTGTCTTTTTTTTGGTTACGGTTCATAAAAGGAAGCTGTGATAAGTTTCAATGAAGAAATGTATTTGGGAGGAGACAAAAATGCTAAGATTCTTCTGATCTATAATTTAGTTAATCAATAAATGCCAAGTAAAAGAAACTTAAAAATCTTAACTCATTCCAAAACAATTACAGACATTAAAAAGGGGCAGGACACAGAAATGCAGCTTTTTGTGTAGAACCCCGAATGACTGGTAAGAAAATATACACGAAGAATAGAGAAAGCAAGGACTTCTGACTTTCCTGTACATGAAGATTGCTTTGTAAAGACAAAAAGCAGGGGGAAATACCAGCGGAAAATGAAACAGTAGTATAATTTAAAAAAGAAAGTTCAACCGACCAAGAAAAAGTACCACATACATACTCCTATTCACCACATTCAGAATGATTGTCAACAGGACTCTGTTCATCGGATGCAGTCTCTTCAAAGGTGCCTTTTCTTCCTCTGTGAGTAAAAGAGCCCCCCGCAAAGCCCCACACTGAGATCTACCACCAGAGTGCTAGCAGACAGGAGACTTCCCGCTTCAGTTTGGTAAAACCGGCTGCTGATTTACTGGGCATCTAGAGCTGCAGGTCCGTCCTGCTCCGGGTTCAGGACACTCATCTGCAGCAAAGGCTACTTAGAGAAATGTCACACCTGCTGAGGTGAGCGGGGCCGCACCTTCCTAGCGCTCGCTCCAGCATTCTTCTAACAGACGCGCTCGCTGCTTCTCCTGGGAAGCAGCACATGGAGTCCAAGCACTTGACACTTGCATTTGTTTCAGTAAGCTGGGGGATTGAAGCAAAAGAAGTTAGTTACAGACAGATCTGGACTTCTAAAAGGTACAATAATGGCAACAAGCACTGGACAACCAAGAGGAATGTATGTAAGTGTGCATGTGTTCTAAATATGTATGTATGCATGACACTTTCATAGAATATAATCACGTAAAAATATTTTAAAAACCGAATGTCCTATTTACAAGTCTAGCAAAGGATGTTAGTCTTTTATCATGGTCAAACTGGTTTATGTCAACCATTCAAACTAATTCCAATTCTTCTTGGAGTTTTGCTTCGTGTGAAATGCTCCTGCAGTTACACTAAAGATGTCTGGCAGCTGAGAAGTGTGGAGTATAAACTAGTAACAATGGTAGCAAACACTTATGCAGTGTTTACTGTGAGCTACCTCTAAGCACGTTACACGTGTCTACTCCATAGTTATTTCTGAAAGAAGTACTGGTTGCTCTACATTGCTAAACAAGGATTAAGTGGCATCCATGTCTATAATCAGTTTATCTGGTTTTTAAAGGCAGCGTGGTGGAACATGGATTAAAATTTATTAAACTTGATAAATAGTACTATTAAAGTTCAATTAACTTCTCAAATATGCAAAATTTATACTGATTCATGCATAAATCGCCCAGCAAGACAACTTAACTCTATACTACTAACAATTTTCACTGTATTAAAACGAGGAAATAAAAATGGTCTGACCACAGGTCAATGAATCCCAACCCTGGTTTTGCTATTCAAGAGTTCTTCCACAGTTTCAAGGGTTGTCATTTAAAAAGACAAGACTAACTCATTTTCCTTTATATATGTAACATCTTGTGTAACAAATTTTTTGAATAAAGGAAGAACAAACTTCTCTTCCACAGAGGTTGGGAATCACCGATGTCACGTGGAGCATGGCGACAGAGGGCGGGAGTGGAGATGCTCACAATGGACGGCGATGGCATGGTGGGAGGGAAGTAATCTGGCTCTGAGGGCCAGCGACTGGTGAGCGCCCTTGAGATTCGTGCTCGGAGCAGTGCGAGACGAAGCACAGCTCCTGCGTGGCAGCTGCCAAGGTGCACCAGCGCCGTGGGACTGGCTAAGTGGTGAGACAGAATGAAACCTCGTGTTCTCTCCTTCAAGCACCCCTGCTTTAGGGTCATGTATGGCATTGCTTCTTAACTGATTTGTGAGATGTTTACAGGTGTCTCACTAAAAAAACAAAGCTCTATGGTCAGTTAAGTTCGGGAAGCACTAAGCTCAGCGAAGCTCTAAACACTTTTAAAGTAAAAGATGCTACTACATCAGGTTTGTGTCCAGTCTTTGAGGGAAGCCTGAGCTACCATAATTCCCCAAATTGTCTGTGTAGCCCTCTCCACCTCCGTGCACCAGGAAACACTGATCTGCACCAGAAGGAACATTACTATTCAGAAGAACAGCCTGGGAAATGCTGGGTTAGGTAACAGGACTTCATCAGCTTCCCAGCTTCGTCTTTGGGGCCCTGGGCTCCAGTTTCTCCCAATCTTCCATTCATCTGTGGCAGGAACCCGGACTCCGCGCTCCCACATGGCCAGACCTGCACACCCCTCCACCTGCTGCACGGGCCCTTTCTGAACCGGCTCCTGGCTGCCTTTCCTGCCCTACTTCGGCATCCTGTGCTGGTCCCACCCATGCCAGCGGGGTGCGGGTCAGCGCTGCCACCAATCAGGGCCCCCATGGGTGCTCCTAAATCAAGGTCCAGTTTAGGAAATTTCCTTATCCCTTTCAACTGTGAGTTATCACTTCCTCTCTGTGTTCTATTCACTGCTTCTTAGCATCACTTTTTAAGTGATACAAGTACTGAAATCCAACTTACGTATCCTGCTGAGCAGGGAGGGTCTGCGCCAGTGCCCTGCAAGTGCAAGCCCGCCCTCAAGGTAAGGAAAGAAGTGGGAGGAGACAGGTCAGAAGTATGTGACACCACCAGCTGTATTGGTGGAGCGCTTACTATGTACACGTGGGAGGATTCACATGGATCAGCTCATTTAAAATTTACACAACAGCCCTATGTTACAGGCACTATCATCACCCTCATTTTATACAAGGAAACAGAAGTCAAGAATTTGTTCAAGGTCACTCAAGCTGGAGCTTCAGTTTTAACCCCAGAGCCCCAAACTCTTTACCAAACTATCCTGCCTCTGATAGCACGGTCTGAGACAGACCACTCTGAAAAGACAAGGGGAAGCTCAAACCCGGTGTCACTGGTGGCACTAGCAGGAGAGCACGAAGAGCTAATGAAAGAGGATGGCGTCTGACGTGTATGTTGGAGGGTGGGTGGGTTTCAGTAACTGGAGATGGGGCTGAAGGAAGAGGATGTAACCGAGGGGCACCGGGCACTGTGTGGTGTGTGCTCACCTAAGCCTCGCCTAGGCCTAAGGGAGCAGCTGCCACACCTGTCCCCTTACACAAAAGCCACTCTGATCGCCGGCTCAGGGCTGATCTGTAAACCTGGCCCATGAAAGAAATGTTTCTGGCCTGTGAGAAGAGTTCAAAGCATTTTACAGCAATTTTACAGAACAACTTGCCAGAACTACTCAATCTCATCATGATTTAAAAAACTCAGTTACTTCATACTTTTAAAAATTTCATTTCCCTAATAGCTCATTTTTATTACATTCATAAGTACTGATCCACGACAGAGGAAATTGTGAACAAGGACACAAACTGTCCCCGCAGTACTTTTATCTGGGCAGGACTGAGCCAGACCAGAGACAGGTCTGGGCCGGGGGCTTCTCTGGTTCTTCCTGGTGGGTTGACGTGTGGTCTGCTGCTCAATCAGCTGATATCCCGGTCACCAGCACCGGGTGTGCAGAGGTCTGGACCTGACCGTAGGGAATTTTCTCGAAGGGGTGGGGAGGACACCATGAAATGACAAATATACTACAAAGAAATGACTCCTTCAGATTACCTTCTGACCTAAAGGAAACCTATTTTCCTTTTCTTTTCCTAAATAGGAAAAACAAAAACAAAACTACCCAGCTGCTCTGAAAACGCTGAACGCTGGCTAACCGTGTTTCTGGAAAGCTCTCTACGGAAAACGCTCCACTGTTCTCCAGCAAACCTCCAAGTGCTACTGCTCCCCCCACCGCCCCTCTATGACCTCAGTGCCCACGAGCCGGGAGCTCAGCCAGAGAACACGGAGCTGCCACTGCCAGGACAATGGGACGGGATGTTTAGTCTTGTTTCACGCAAAGAAGGGAGAGAATCACAGCGCTCTGGGAAAAGACTAGTTGTAAGCACTAGAAAAGAAAAAAAAGCAAACTAATTAGAGTGTGCTTACCTGGTGAAACCAAAAGTAAGTTTTAATTTACCAGAAATTTAGATTTATAGCTAAGCCTCACTCTCTACCACACTTGCTTCCCAGAAACCACCACATAATTCAGAGGTCGGAGGGCTGCCAAGCAAAACGTCCACGGAAGCTCACACGGCTATGTATGGCAATGAGAGCAGTCACCGTCTTCACAGAACTTGCCTTCTGAAATAAACCTAGGCTCCCTGTTTTTTTTTTGGTGGGGGCGTTTGAGACAAGGTCTCGCTATGTAGCTCAGGCTGGCCCTGAACTCTCTGTGTAGCCCAGGCTGGTCCTGCCTCAGCTTCCTGAGCGCCTGGAGTACAGGTGTGCACCAGCACGCTGGGCTGCGCTCGCTGCTCTTATTTCCATTCTTGTCCTATCAATGACGGCAAATACTCTGAAGTTCTTTCTGTTGCTTACTGAGTACCTTCCTTAAATCTTGTAAATGTTTGATAACTGTCTTACATTTTAACCTATGTGACTCCATCAAATAAAATTTTCTTAGGTTAAGATAAAAACTGTAAAACTGTTACCTGTATTAGTATGTTTTTCCCTTAAAATTGTTTTATGTACTAGATGATCAGTGTAAATGCCTTGTCTAGCCTTAACCAAAGCCTTAAACTCTAATTAAAAAAAAAAAAAAAGAAAGAAAACAGCTTTGGGTTTATGGAAGTGTTATTCTTTTCAAAGTGAAATACCATGCTGTCGTGCAGCTGTGGCTGAGAATGATGCAATTCCTACAGCAAGTCAGCGTCCACTTGGACTGCACTGCAGATGGCTGGAGCGCTGCTGGTGGCAGGGTCCACTAAGGACCCTTCCTCCCCCTCCCCTAAGTACAACAAATCATGGAGGGAGTGAAATGTGGAAACTCGGGAAGACAGGTACAAAGAGAAATACTTCCTCACTGACTTTTTGGGCTTGCTAGTGAGATTTCTACATGTGTTGCCTAAATTCAACTATGAAAATAAACATAAGCATTTATCAGGTGAGTTTGTTTCTACCATCTGGCTTATTCCTAGTTAAAGAGTAGGCTGGACTCCTTTTCGTTTAATGATGTGCTTATTCAGCTGGTTATATGATTATGACCAGGAATCTACAGTTCAGGTAAAGAGTAGTTTTAGTATCTGTGAAAAACTAACTCCCGCCCAATTTAATGGACAGGGTAAATGGTGTCTGGGTGGCTGGAAAGGTAGGAAATTCACTTGTCATTCCTACACAAAACTAACTGTTAATGGTAGGATGTTTTATTCTTCATAATTACTACCAGTCAAAATATTCCACATATCCTAGTGAGGTTTAGAAGTGATTACAGTTTATTCCTCAGAAGGGGAATAAACAAAGCCATTATCAATTCACATTGTTACTACAAAAATAAAACTATAAACATTTATTAAAAGAATTGAGTTTGTTAAATATCAATAAATGGAAACTCACTAAGTCCAAGCACTCATTTGAGTATTCAGCTCAAGAGGCAGATGCAGATAAGCAATTCAGTGTCTACCTACATTCAGATGTATAAAATGATACACAACTTCCAAGGGCAAATGATTTCAGAAACAACAGACTGTGTGAAAGGGAGTCCCTTCCTGCATGTAAGGTAACAGGTTGTGAGCATACCTTACTAAGTTAGAATATGAGGTGAAGAATGATTTATTACTATAATCTGAAAGGAAGATTAGTAAGATATTTAGGGATAGACAATATGAAAATGTGAGGACCAAAACAAAGGAAAAGAACTAAACCAGAACAGCGTCTGAGACACGGAACAGGCAACAGTGGGGTGGGGCTGGACAGGCCGGGCCAGTCTTCCGGCACGCTCCAGCAGGGGCGGCAGGCGAGTCCCCAGCAGGCCCGGCGCAGTACTACCTAGGGCACGCGTCAACTGTCCTGCCGGCTGCCGCCTCAGCTAGCAGGCGCCCACTGTCCTCCCCTCTGTGCTGGCTCTCAGCAGATTCATATGCTGAGCTGACTGAACCCTCATCCTCTTCCATCTAGAAGAACAGAAAAGCAACAAATCTTGCATTACAGAAAGATCTCTGCGCACGACCTAGGATTAGAATCAAAGCAGTAAGCTGGGTCCACAAACTGTGATGCACAAGTGAATGTTCACACAGCGGCTCGCGTACTGTGACAAGCAGGACCGACAGGAGCTTCTGAACAGGACACAACAAAGCACAGAAAGCCATGAGTTCCCAGTGCACAGAGCTCTTACTAAACATACAGCCAAAGTGAAACCAAGTTTCGTTAACTAAATTCAATTTCTTCATGGCCACTAAAATTTAGACGTTTTACTGAAGAACGTTCAATTTCTCACCTCTCATCCTTCTGCCTCAGTAGCAGCTAGCTGGAGTTCAGCAAAGTACAAGTGTCAGACACAAGAACAAGGGGCTTGGGTTAGTTGTTAACAAATTAATTTACCTTTAATTTGAGACATATTTTTAGTGAAGGTCAGTAACTTATAAGAATCTCGTTTTTTTTTTTAATATTTGGGCTACAGACCCAAGGAACTTTAATCTGAACATGTGCTACAGCCATCCTTATTTTTAATCTTTCTTTCAGTTATGAGAAAAGGTTCACACAATGAAAATAGATACTGCCTCATCTGTTTTTCCTATTTTAGGTCTGACCAAAACTAGCTCTATTTAAAAAAAAAAAAAACGAAACGGTAGAACTCCCTGGTTTCATGAGTACTCTAAGTTTATATGACATCTACCTATAATAAAAAGGAAAATATTCAAAATGAGCTTTCTCAGTCAAAAGCTTCTTAGAAAGTACCAACCTAATTAAAGACCTGAAAGCTCTTAAAGATATCTGAAATCTGTATAACCTCCCTTCTTGTCAAATTACTTAAGCTACCACGGATGCATCCACAGGTCGGCTGATCCCAATTTAGAAAATGAGATGCCCTCGAGGTTCACAGGATGCAGCCGCAGAGCTGTGTGTGACCCTCATCCTCCTTGTAGCTGTGAACAAACGGCCGCTCACTGCTCAGAAGAGCAGCTGTAATTTCTACTTGGCTTTTGGTTAGGTAAAGTATTTCTTCTTTTTGTTTTTCTTTGCTGTTGATTAAGTCAATAGACTGTGGGATGTATGTAAAACGATCATTTAAGTGAGGACACTGCAGGCCCAGAAAGGGGGACACACATGGGAGTATGTTTCTTAGGCCACTAGGGGTGGTGACAAGTGTGGCGTGGGCGTGGGGTCAGCCGCTGACTCTGGACCTATGTTGTACTACTGACTCGGGGAGGCCACAGGACAGGTATCTGGCCAGTAATACATCCTGCTCTTGCTGTGTTCTTCCACGGATGCGTGTTAAACCTCCTAATCTGCTATAGGATTAGAGAGCTTGGAATCACTTTGATTTGTCAACTCTTTTCCTCATTCTTTTCAGGTCTAGTATTGCTCAAAAAGAGTGGCTTGATTTAAGGTAACATAATGTGAAAATATGATTTCATAACAATATTATTCAGTATGCAAAATGTTATTCTCACCTGACAAAAGAACTGCCCAGAGTGTTCTTTTAAATAATGAGCACTCTTATTGCCTTAGAGTAAAATAAATGTTCAGTAATGTGAGAGAGAGCCGCTGTTTTCAGAGAATCACCCACGGATACAAATGGGATGTAGATACTTAACTCATCCAGACGGGAACGTGCATCTTCACTACGTGTCTTGATTTTAGCACTGGCTTTAACATGAAATTTAGTTTACTACTTAAACACCCATATGCATATTCAGCTATCATTATATACCTTTGTAATTCAAAAAAGAATTTTAAAAATCTTATCATCAAAAAACCCAGAGGTTTGGCAAAACTTTAAAATGGCTCAAAATTATAAATTCATGGTATTACATAAAAGGTTAAGCGGTGCCTTGTCAAAGCCATCCATTTGATTAAATGAATGTAGACAGAAACCTCACAAAATACAAAAGAATTTAAGAAGCTAAGCGCAGTGGTACACATCTGTAATCCCAGCACTTTGGAGGCTGAGGCAGGAGGACTGCTGTGAATGTGAGGCCAGCCTGGGCCACATGGTGAATTCAAGGCCAGCCTGGGCTACATAGTAAGATGCTGATAGCAAACGAACAAACAAATGAATTCCACAGTATACGTGAGTAAGGATGTGTAAGACACCAACAAGGTGAGAAATTAAAAAGTGCTAAACTAAAAAAAATTCATTATATTGCTTTTTCTCTTTAAAAATTAAATGGAATTAAACTTAATACACCATTGTGGTACATTATCAAATGTTCTAGGATTTAAGTTTTCATTTAAGACATCTCTAGACTGCTGGTTATTTTTTGTGGAAACTGAAGGCATTGCTATGTCTGTGGAGATAAAGGTACAAGACATGTAAAACATATTATTCAATTTATAGGTGCACTAAGCAGGAGCAGGGACACGAGGTGCTCGGCAGCCATCGCAGTGTACAAACACAAACACACACAAGTATCTGCAACACAGATCAGGCAAGACAAAACATGAGTAACTCTCACTTCCAAGTACAACTTCAAAGCGTAAATGTTATGAGGGTTTTCTGCAGCTTTCATTACTCAACATGCAGGAGCAGCCTTAAATATGAGTATGACAAGCAGAAGCACTGGAATTAGCTAGAAAAAAGTTGAGGAATAAAAATACGTAACAAGGTACAGATCTGTCCTGTTATGTTGAATTTTCAAAGAATTTTTTTTTAGGTTTTAACATACATATTAATAAAGGTCAAATCAGTCAGAGACAGAGCTGTGCTGACCAAAGCGCCCGCTCATTACGCGTGCCTCCGCCCATCTCAGTGTCATCGACCGCAAGCATGCAGAAGAGGAGCGAGGGCTACTCCTACTCTACCTAAGTCTGCTCAGCTGATCCCTTGCCCTGGACAAAGGCTGCAGTGCGATGAACTCGTCACTGAAAGCGACTGTGTTGGAGTACATCTATAAGTGGACAGAAAAGGGATGGGACACACAACAAGTCAGTGAGTGGCATTCATCACCTAGGAGACAGACGCAGGACAGGCTCTGTCATAGCCAGCACCTGTCCCCTCACGGGGAGGACAGATACACGGTACACACACACGACTGACATGTGCAGGGCACTGGCTTTTCCATCAAAAAATTCATTCATTCTTAAGACCACATTGTAATTCTGCAGAAAAACAGAGATCAGAATAAATGCTGACAGCTTTTCTTTTGACAGGGTTTTGCTTGCTACTTTCGGTAAACAACTGACAACTTTCTAACCGTTTCTCCATCACCGGAAACCACAAGTGATGGTAGAAATAACAATGAAATAACAATGATTACTGCCTGCAGGAAAGGATGAAGGTTACATATAGGATTTGAGTAATTGTACTGCTTCAATTTAAAAAGACAAAAGCAAGCAAACAAACCACCCCGCAAACAAATAAAAAGCCCCACCAAAACAACCAACTCAGCAGGCTAGATCTCTGAGTGAATGTGCAGATTTCCTTCTTGAATGAGGCCATCCACCTTTCCTTATGTCACTTGGAAATGACTTTAGTGAGCCAAAAAAATTACACACTTTCACATGCAAGTGAGCTGTCTGACTTACTGCACATTCTATTTTTAATTCCTTTCTAACTTCTGTTAAAAAAACAAAATACATATATGTGCTATCAAATTTTTCTTAAGGGCCTACCTTGAGGTACAAAGTATTTCCTAGGAAACCCTTTAAAGAGACTAGAGGGAGGGGCAGGGAGGGGACATAGGAAGAATTACGATGCACCATGGGCATGCACTGACTCCCCATGACGGATGGAACCATGTGCTGCTCACACGGACCAGGAAAAATTTAAAAAGAGACTCTAGAAAATGTAATAAGAACTAGTATTATCACTTTTTACATCAGTCAGACACCTTTATGAAAACTAAATTTGGAAATGCTCCACCTACTACAGAATTTGTAAGGATAATGTAAATCTGATTACTTTTGTAAAGGATTACATTTTTTTTTCTTTTTGGTACCAGAAATCGAACTCACGGCCTTGCGCTTGCCAGGCAGGTGCTAAAGGATTACATTTTTAAAGCGATGCCATTCACTTTGATCAAATATATTTATGTAGGTGAAGAGGGGAGAAAAACTGTTTCCCATCAAGGTTTAAAAAAGTATAATACATACTGTGTTAAAATTAGTATTCTTTTACTGTATTTCTTATTTATTTGTTTATTTTTGTTTTCTTGAGACAGAATCTTGCTATCTAATTCAAGGTGGGCTTGAACTCAACACATGGCCCAGGCTGGCCTTCAACTCACAGCAATCTTTCTGCTCAGCCTCCCGAGTGCTGGGATTACAGGTGTGCGCCACCATGGTTGGCCTCTTTGTAGTAAGATAAACAGACCTCTCTGATGTAGATTTAAAAAATATGTAACAGTCAGCCTATACTGATTCAAATATATACGAAGACAGATGCAATAAGATCGTCATTTTTTCCCCCTTTGGAGATCTGTATCAGAAAGCAACATCCTCACCTTCACACTTAGGATGACACTTTTCTTATCAAGGACCAACTATTACCCTGCTCTTACACAGGAGGAAACCTAAGTCTAGCAAAGTGACTTCGGTCAGGGACCTACACCTTACAAGTGAATCCTGGGTTAAACAGTATTTGCATTCAGATCTGTCAGGATTCATAGGCCTATGTTTTCTTAATGGTGCCAAAATGTTTACTGACCAGGATTAAATTACCAAAGCAAATAAACTGGGCATGGTGGTGCACACTTGTCATCTCAGCACTGGGGAGGCTGAGGCAGAGGACTGGCGTGACTTTGACTAGGCAGCAAGATGCTGCCTCAAAAGCAAAACAAAACAGAACACCAAAGTAAGTAAAAGGTAGAGGAATGATGCTGACTGACATGACCAACTAAAATCAGAACCAGTGTACTGCTTAGCAAGCCTAATACAAATTACTAAATACTTATGAACCAATCTTTCTGTCTGTAGGTAAGTATACAACTACATTTAAAAAAAAAAGCTGGGCACAGTGGTGTATGCCTGTAATTCCAACACATGGGAGGTTGAGAGGGGAGGATCACCACGTGAGTTCAAGGCTAGCCTGGGCTACAGAATGAATGCAAAGCCAGCCTGAACTGCATAGCGAAACCCTGTATCAAAAAAAAAAAAAAAAATCCTTGGCATCAAACAAACAATTAACCTAGGTAAGAACTACTTAATAAACTCAATGTTTACCAGAGTATAAAAGCTGATGATGAGAATGTATTCTTTAATGTCCATACCCACTACTATGGTACAGTTACAGGGCAAATACATATAGACTTCTAGCTCCTGTACTAATCGAATACACAAAAAAGGCATGGTCAAACGAATAGCTATAATTTCTTGAGCAACTACTCTGTGTTTAACATTCTTTCATTTAATACATCAAGAAGAAAAAAAAAAAAGAAAGACATCTGTCATAATTTTACCAACAAAGACACTGAGATTCAAAGTCACAATGCTGCCACGTGGCAGAGCTGGGATTTGAAATGAGATCTATCTGTCCCCCAAATCATATTCTTAGGCATTATGTAGTTTAATATTCATTAATTTAAATATGTAACATTAATTTAAATATATATTTTCAAAAAAATCTATTCTGTAAAAAATATTTCATGAATTTATTTCAGATTCTTTTGTTAAACCTGGAGTTTTATCAATAAATAAAATGTAATTTTTAAAATTAGAGAATTTATTGGTAGTTAAAATGTTTACATTGCAAAATACTTCATACAGGGATGGGTAATTTCCCATTTTCAGACATAAGCAAATTAAAATCAGTCAATGATCACTAAAACTCCTGATGAAAAGTAAGTACAAAGCGCTTAGCACTTACCTGTGCCTTTTCAGTACTTGTAGGATGGAGCTGTCGGTCAAATACCTTCTTCACAACATCAAGAAACAGACAAGTTACAACCATAAGGATGATGGCAAACCAAGCAGAACCACTTGATAGGAGCTGAATAAATACAAAGTACATATTCTGGGAGCTCAAAAATGGCCTGTGGAGAAAGACAGTGGGCTAGATAAAAGTGAAAACTAAAATGACTTAAGTCAAGACATCATGGAAAATTATTAATTTCAAAGCAGCAATTTTAAGAGTACTCCAGAAAAATGGTCTAAATTGAAATTAGCACAATCTCGTTGAATAGCTAGTAATGTAAGACACTGTTAAACATAAAACCCAATTTAACAATTATGAAACACGCCGGGGATATAGCTTAGTGGCACAAGCACCTGGCTGGCAAGCTCAAGGTCCTGGTCCTGAGTTCTACTCCCAGTGCCCGCCCCCGAAAAAAAGATAACAGGAAAGAGACAAGCAGCTGAGTAGACAGCCTTACATCAGTGCTAGGACACCAAAACCATGTGGGGACATTTACTGAAGAGACCAAGAAAGGAAATAGTATGTGACAGAGTATCTTTTACTGATTTAATTAATTGGTTAAAAAAACTGTAAAAGACTGATTACTCAAATCTTAGGCTGAAAGCATTATTCCGAGGCTCTTCTTTAAATTAAAAACCTCTTTAAAGTAAATGCACTAAAAGCAGCCTGGGCAGTCTCTGCATCTGCCAGCCAGCTGCGCAGACAGCCTGGGATGTCCCCTCACCGCACAGGTCCTGAGCCGAGCCCGCAGACAGGGTGGGTTGGCTGCCGCGGCTGGGAGCCGGACCGGAGCTGGGAAAGGGCTGAGGTTCCTATCGGTTGTTCCACCGCAGAGCTGCTCCTTTGGGGAGGTTTCCATCTCTAACCTTTCTTCCCATCTGATTCTTTCTGTTGGTCAGGTCCCAGGTGGGCTGAAGGCAACGTCTAAGGGGCTGGGGGTCAGGAGCGAGACCTCTGCCTGTCTCTTCACCTGTCCCACTCATTGTGCTCTCGAGGCCTGGGTGATGGCTCTGGCCCATTCGATGGCTGCTCTATGAACAGGAGTGGCTGGGAGGATCACAGGCTACACCTTAAGAGTCTGCCTGTGAGGTGTGGGTATAGGGGTGGATCAATACTTGCTAGGCTGGAAAATGCCCCACAAGAGGGTTTGAGAGGGGCTGCCCTGAGCTAGGGGTTGAGCTCAGTAGAGCACTTGCCCACATCCATGAGGCCCTGGGTTCAATCCCTGCACGCCCCACCTCCCACGAAGGCACTAGCTTTGTAGAATGAGATACGCCGGAGTTCCTGGGAGGCCCCGGGGCAGAGGTTCAGGGCTGAGCCTTGCTTGTGGAAAAACCTGCTCTGCCCAGGCACCTGGCCCTGTGGGCTGCCCCAGCCACAGATCCCAGTGAGCCCAGAGCCTGCAGTGGTGTTATTTAGGGGGTTTGGGATCTATCACTTCCCAAGACTATGGGGAAATACAGAAACAGAGAAAGGAGGTGGATTATAGATAACAGTGTGCAGGATCTTTTATGATCCCCCGTGGAAACTAATGATTAGCTAATACAAGTTTTTTGCCTGACAAATGGATCAAAGACATAGCAGGCAAATGTGATAGAAACTCCTCCAGAAAACAGACTTTAGTTGTCTAGCACTTACCAAAAAATCATGGCAAAAACATGAATCTTTTTTCCCCCCAGTTCTGGGGACTGAATCCAGAACTTTCACAATAAGCTACATCCCCAACCCAATTTTATTTCCTTGTCTGTTTTTTGAAAAAGGGTCTTGCTGTGCAGTTCAGGCTGGCCTCGGACTCACTGTGCAGCCCAGGCTGGCCTCAGAACTCATGGCGATCCTCCTGCTCAGTGCGCAGCTGCCCAGGCTGGGTGGAACTCGTCTTCACGCGTCAGCCTCCCACCTGTGCTGGGGTTGTAAGCACGCACCACCATGCCCAGCTGAGAAGTACGGACTTTACTCTACCAGAATAGATTAGTACCTCACTTTACTACTGAAGTGCACAACAGAGTTTGAGAAATGAACTCAACAATCAAAATCTGATGGTTATATAAGGGCTTATTTTAGTGCATATATGAGTAAGTGAGTTGAATGAATATGGTTATTCTAAAGAATACTGACTGTTATTACTTTTTTACCTTTGTGACCCTGAGGCTCAGTTTCCACATAGGAAAAATAAGAATAAGATTACTACAAACTGTCTAGAATGTTTAAAATGTTTACATAAAAGGTCCAGGTACTCAAGGTATGTTAAATTTATTTTTTTTCTTTCCTACACATTGGTAGGATAAATGGAAAAGAATGAATTTATTAGGACTGGATCTGAAAATGATTCTGAGCAGAATTTGCTCATACTATAATCTAACACAATAAATGTTTACTACAGTTAGATACAAGCCAGTGTGGTGATATGCCCCTGCAATCCCAACATTAGGGAGGCTGAAGCCCTGGAGGACTAGCATCCAAGTTTGAGACCAGGCTGGGCTCACAGTGAGCTCAAGGCTAGCCTGGACCACACAGCAACTCTGTCTCAAAAAATACAGAACAAAACATAACATAACATAAAATAAAATGTAGTTACTCACCAGAGAATTCCACTATAAAACAAAGAAAATATAAAATAAAATATAATAGATCCCCAGGTAACAAGATGGTTGATCCAAGTCCAAAAATGAGTTTCCAAAGCCATCTAAAAAAAGGAAAAAATTTAAAAAGCTTTAGAAATATAAAGCAACAAAGCTTTAACATTAATTATAAAGAATTTAATGAAAAGGCACTAGTAGGAAACTATAGTTTGACATTCATAGTATTTTTCTTCTATGAGGAAGCAGCACTGAAATTCCATGGGATGACTGTATTTCAGATCCATGGTTTAAAACAAATTGGGTTGTTGCTTTGTATTATACACAGAGAAGGATAATTTCAGTGATTTAAAAAAAACCAACTGACATTTTCTAAAATGATAAAGACCTTTCTGAGAAAAATTTAAATGAATTATTAAAATAATAATCTGAAAGTATTCACTGCTGAAAAAGGAAAAGGGAAAATACTTATCTATGGCTAAAGACATGAAGGAAATTAACTATGAAATATACACACACAAAGTACATCCACATATTTGTAATTTTAATACCATACCTTTACTGTAACTGTAATAACCATGACTGTGAAGACCAAAGTACCAAATGTCCAGTTTCCAAACATCTGAACAGAAACAACAGACTATTACATTATGTGGCAACATGTCAAATCAGATGCAGGGCAAAGTTATTTCATTTCTACTGAAAATCTTTTTTTTTCCTTTTTTTTGGTACTTGGAATTGAACCTAGGAGCTCACATGTGCTAGGTAAGTGCTCTACTAAACAGCCACACGCCTGGCCCTGAAAATCATTTTAATTATTCAACCCAGTTACATATGGAATCTGTGACAATATTAATAAAGGTGAAAGAGTATGAGAAGCATTACTGTGCGCATTATTCTTATGTATGACATTCCTTTGGATAATATCTTCACACCTGAAATCCAAAGACAGCTTCACAGCTGCGTGGCACAGAGGGTTTTTAAGTTAGAACGCTACAGTCATTATGGAGTGCTTTCTCTCCTGTCACACTATAAAATGGTAACAGAACTACTATGCAACTGCAATTATTTTTTGAAAAATTTCCAACCGGAAGTTAGAGTGGATCACTTGGCACAGTATTATTAGACAACATATACAGAACCGGAAAAAAGAAACTGAAACTTATTGGTTCTCTGAACAGATAAAACTTTATATTCTTTAAAATGCAATTTTTTTTTGGTTCCGGGAATCGAACTCACGACCCTGCACTTGCCAGGCAGGTGCTTGTGCCACTGAGCTATATCCTTAGCCCAAAAATGCAAATCTTAGGTCTATGTCTCCAAACGTATTTTGTAAGGCACTAAGTTGCCAATTACAGAGGGAAAGAAAGGTAATAAGCACTTCTGGTCCCCTACAGTACACTGGTCACTCCTGCCCCCTCTCTCAAGCTAAGCCAGGCAGGAGATGCCCCGTGCTGCCCAAGTCTCCAACATGAGCAGGGCAGTCAGGACACTGTGAAACTGCGCACTGCTTACTATGCTTTCCTAATTTCACACCTCAAACATGGGATTTTGGGGGCAGGGATTTAGCTCAGTGGCACGGTGCCTGCCTGGCAAGGGCGAGGTCGTGAGTTCGATTCCCAGTACTAGAAAAATACAAAAACAAAAACAAACAAGTAAGAAAAACCCAAAAAAATCCACATGGGATCATAATTAAGCAGTAATTTATAAATTTATGACTTTCTGAGAACTGTCAGTGCATTCAGAATACAGTAACACCCCTGAAGCAAGCAAACAAAACTGTTAGCAAACAAGTCCTCATTTCTCATCTGAAAATCCAGTGTAATTAAAGCCTTCCAAGAGGATTTATTGGGAGGATTAATGGCCTGGGGGCACATAAACACCTGCACAAAAATAAGCATGAAGTAAACAATATCTGTTACTGAAACACCCTGAGATGACCAGCATGCAGGGGCAATAACATATCTCCCAGCGTGGACTAATTCCGGAATGGCAAAACTATTCATTAATGAGTTTCTCTTTAAAATTACACTGTATTACTTTCACTTTTTTTTTTTTTTTAAAAGAGATATGGTCTTGCTATGTAGTTTAGGCCGGTCTTAAACTCACTATGTAGCCTAGGCTGGCCTTGAACTTGGGGGAATCCTCCTGCCTCAGCCTCCCAAACGCTGGAACTACAGGGATGTGCCACTATGCATGGCCACCTTCATGTTTTAATTTTCATTTGTACGAAACTTCATTATATGAAAAAATTAAAATCTTTTTATGTTTTCACTTTTAGTATATGAACTTTTATAATTTAAGTTCAATTTTACTTTTATTGTGCATGACAGAAAACTAAACCAGGGCCAGGGATATAGCTCAGCAGCACACTGCCTTCCTGGTAAATGCAAAGTCCTGAGTTCAATTCCTGGTACCAACAAAAACAAAAAACAACAAAAAAAAAAACCAAGCAAAAACCAAACCAAATCAACAAATCAAAAAATCGACAAGCATTCTGTAAAAATCTCCATATATTTACCTGGCCATTTCCAAGCAGAGATATATCCTTCCCCATCAGAAAATAGGATCCAAAAAAGAAAATAAAGGCATGACTGAAACCCAGGATAGTCCAATAAAGAAATGTTTTAATGCTTAAGAGACGATTCTTACTAATATCCCTGTAAATTAAAAACAAAAGGTAAAAAGGAACACATTAGTAATCATTTATTTATTAAGCAATTACTACACTTTTATTTAAAAAACAAGGTGAAGTTTGAACTTAAGATGTCCTGAAAATACTAGAATAAAATCACATTTACATAGTTCTGCTTCTACTACCATACACCTCTGAGAACAGCTGTAGTTCAACTCCAATACACTTTCTTATTTGATAGAGAAATAGACACAACACTTCAGTTCAACTGTGAAGAGCTGACTTGTCAGTACTGTCAATGTCAGCCACTCTGCCACGACAGTCTTTAGTGAGGTTATCCAAGCTGGGCTCATCAGGGAGGCTCCTGAGTAACTTCACATCCAACAGCAGCTGTTACACAGCAACAGTCTGCACTGATCTTGGGGCAAGTCCTGTCCTGGATAACCTAGGAAATCAAAGTAATACTGCACCTGGATAACTGGCCGCCTCTGTACGTGGTACCTCTACATCACCCCAGAGGACTGAAAGCTTGTCCTGACACTTCCCGTATCTCTGTTACTTGGTTCTGGGATCTGGGACTAATATCTTCAACTTGCTTTGCACTGAGTATTATACTATGTTTGGCAACAGGGGGACATGAGTTCATTTTCAGAAACTCTAGAGACTGCTAAATAGTAACTTCTTTTGTGTACATGAAGTAGATTATGACTGGTTTGCAACAGTAAGTGTAAACCATACAACTGCCTAATGCATTTTTAGCATCAAAGAGTTCATTCCTCAAACCAGCAGAAGCTGAGCATGATGGTGCATGCCTACAGTCCCAGCACTTGGGAGGTTGAAGAAGGAAGACTGCTGCCAACTTTGAGGCCAGCTTGAGCTACACAGTGAGTTCAAAGCCAGCCTGCACTATATAGTGAGACCTTGTCTTAAAAACCAAACAGCCAGGGTGTGGTGGCGCACGCCTGTAATCCCAGCACTCAGGAGGGTGAGGAAGGAGGATCACTGTGGGTTCAAGACCAGCCTGGACTACACAGTGAGTCCAAGGCCAATTTGAGCTACATAGAGAGACCCTGTCTCAAAAAAACAAAATAAAAGAAAACAAATTATTCAAATTTCTTCTTGGCATTAAAAAACTTTACGCCATATAACCACCACGCTTTCCTTAGGAAAGGGTCAGGCGCCAAGGCACTCTCTATCCCTCCACTTACCCAACATGTCACCAAAAAATATGGTGAATGTTTTAAATTTAAAAGCCGTGTTGCCATTAATCTTCTTGAAAACATGAATCCATGCTTTGAACACACTTATCCCATTGTTTCTGGCACTTCTTTTTTCTGAGACAAGGTCTCACTGGCCTTGAACTCACTCTGTAGCCCAAGCTGGCCTCGAATTCGCAGCAGTCTTTCTGTGTCAGCCTCCCAAGTGCTGATATTACAGGCGTGTGCCACCATCCCTCGCACAGACACCTGCCACTTCCTGAGGCAGTTCTAACAGTCTTCTTTGGTGAGTGCCTTTTAGCGTGCTGGCCTGCCTATTTCATGTCCTCAGTTGATTCACACATTGACCTTCCAGGTATTTTGACTCTGGGGAGAAGCCAGAAGTCACATGGTGAAAAGGCAGATGAGGATACACTGTAGTATTTTTATGAGCCTGCATTCCACTCGATGGCACCTAGCAGGAATATTCATCATCGTTTTTAATCACTTCAAAAGACACAAAGGAAGACTTTCTGATCTGCTTCAGAAAGATAGGATATAAATATATTCAAAGTAGAGCCAGGAGCGGTGAAACACATCTGTAATACCTAAGCACTCAGGAGGCTGAGGCAGGAGGACTGCTGCAAGATCAAGGTTAGCCTGAACTGCACAGTGAGACTCTGTCTCAAAAAGACCCCTCTCCCCTCAAAAAAGTGTTTTCAAAGTGAGGGGGAGTATTTTTGAGGGAGAGTAATGGCAATGTGTCTTTTATTGTTAAAAAAAAGCATATGAACCTTCACTGTTTTCTTCTATACCCCGGGTATACAGACAATTTAATACTGAAATACTTACCGATAGAGAGTAGGCTTGTTCTGTAATACATGAGGGTCTACATGCTGTTCCAAAAGACTATATATCAGAACAGGTAGGGAAGTAAAACAAATATTGTACAAAGTCAGGTACATGCTGTCATACAGAGTCTACAAAGAGAAATTGGAAGAAATTTTAGGATTTGAAATTACTTCTATTATACTTATGTATATAATTCCAAAAAAGCATATTAAAAACAAGCATAAAATTATAGTTTTTTTCAGTTTACACCAAAATCCATTTTAGTAATTCGAACTTCTTTTTTAGATAAAAAGTATAATGTTCCTAGAGTTAAGTACTTTGTGGAATTGGAATACTTTGTAATATCAGTTATTTCTTGAATTACAGTGAGTTGGATCTATATTAAGATTCTCCACAATCTGGTCACTGTGATGTGGTGTTACACAGTTCTCCTACATGGATTCTAGGCTTCTTACTATTCCTTTGACATGCTATACACACAGGTTTTTTGTTTAAGACAGGGTCTCATTATGTAGTTCAGGCTGGCCTTGAACTCAACTATGCACCCAGGCTGGCCTCAAACTTGTATGTGGCGATCATCCTGCCTCAGCCTCCTAAGTGCTGGGATTCCACATGTGCACCAGCACACTTGGCCTGCTACACATACAGGTTTGCTTTCATAGCTTGGTATCCTCAGCTAGAAGCCATACTCTTTGCAAGGCCCCAAATAAGTCTCTCTTCTTCCATAAAATTTCACAATGGCCTAAGTCCGTGAAGACAGCATTCTCTAAAAAGTGTGAGTGTTGGTATTAACTCGTTAGTACTTTGCCTATGCTTCATGTATTGCTTTTATTCTTATTAATGCTATATCCCAAATTACACCATAAACTCCCCAAAAACCCAAAGTTTGTGGTCTTCCAGCACTCTATTTTACTCAGGTAACGAAACTGTTACAGGCCTAACACTGCCTATCTACAGAGATACTTGTGGTTAAGGACAGGAACAACTCCTGAAAAACCTCATTATACTCTTTTTTCAGTAAGCTAGATGCACTGTATCACTCAGTTTGAGGTGTATAGTGTACATGAAAAGGGTGCTCAGAAGCAGGAGGTCCAAGTCATAGTTTCATCATTAACTCAGCTATATGATTCTGGACAAGCTACTTCATTTCTGTAGATTTAACTTCTTCTTCCATCAAACAAAATAGCAGATCAGGAATGGTGATGTATGACGTGTACAACCAGAGACCAATGCTGTGCACATCAGTGACAGCTAACACATGGCAGTTTTTCCCCCTGTGAAACTACAAGTTCAGAAACCTTTTCAATACAGCAATCCAGGTTTTCCTACCAATTACTTACGGCTCACTTCTGGATTAAATCATTAAGGTCCCTTCCAAATTTAAAAACAAGATGAGTCAAAAACAAAAAGGAAGTGAACCTCTAGTCTAGTAGCTATTTGGTCAGCTTGATATGGATCCTACAAGACATTACAAATAAGCTGAAAAAGTTAACAATATTCTCCCATCCACTGTTGAGTTTTTAATATCAACTTTTTAAAAACCATCCAGAATTAAAATATATGATGCTATCTACATTCATCTCAAGTTGAAAATTGGAATATTATGAATGTTACGCTGATTGGAGAGGCTTTATGTACTTATCTGTAGGGCTAAGAAAAATGAGAAAGTCCTTCAAAGTGTCTATCAAAACCTGAAGATATATGTATCTTATTCTAAAAGAACAAAACACAAGCTTTATTTACTTACTTGTTGAGAAAACAAACAGTAGAACTGATATAAAAACTGGGGTGTGATAAAGCACACATTCTGTAAAACAAGATTAAGTGGGAAATAATTAAAATATGAGTTCTAAAAGAAAAATTTTCTAAAAATAGTTGTTAAATGTCTGGAAACAAAGTCCATACGACAAGTGGCAGATTTCCCATAAGGACTTGCCTAAATAGGAAAGCAGGCCTCTCACTTTATTTGAAAGTCTAAAAGCACTGTAAGGAGCAGCGCAGGTAGCAGAACAGAAATACCCCTACCGCCGTCACTGTCAAGCAACACCACAATTTTGCAAATGTGAGCTTCCAACTCTTACTCAAGATTTTTCATATACAGTATTCAATAGGTAAGATTAAACTTTAGGTCTATGATAGCTTTACAATATAAATTATCCAAATATATCTTTTTGTTTGTTTGTTTTTGTTTTCTTGAGACAGAGTCTCATTATGTAGTCCAGGCTGGCCGCAAACTCACTATGTAGCTGAGGCTGGGCTCAAACTCAAGGCACTCCTCCAGCCTCAGCCTCCAGAGCACCGGGATTACAGGAGTGCACTACCACGTGGGCTTCAGAACATTTTCCTATCTCGATATATTGAATGTTACAAGGAAAAGGCTAAAGCAAAAACTTGGAAGAAAACTGCCACACCATCCCATAGTTACATGCAATCTACTTATGTTCTTCCAGTGTTTTATAAGCATCACTTATAGGAACCTATGCAATATGAGACATCTTATATACTCAGGGGCTCTTAACATGTATTCCTCAGTCTACTACCTTTTCCAAAGGGTCCACCTATGCAGCAGTATTTCAGCACCATAAGTTCCTCTGTAATCCCAAGTATTTCATTTTATGCACATAAAAATCCCATACTGTGAAGCTCACAGCATTCAATAGTCTACTAACGGGACATCCAAGATGCAAAAAAGGGTTAATAACTTCTGCTTGGAATAATCACGCTGGAGTGAAATTAGAACTTATTATTGGCTCAAGAAAAAATAAAGTCACATTTATTGTGGTCTGACTTGCACAGAGTAATACATCAAATTTAAGTAAAACATCTGATGTGCTGGACAAATATATATACTATCTCCATTGCTGTAAAATAAGAGAACTTTTCCATCAGCCCGGGAAGTTTTCTTTCGTCCTCCTCAGTCAGTTCTACCACCTGCACCCTGGGCCCCAGACCCTTGGTTGTGCAGTGCTGGTATCAACTAGATTTATTACAAAAGCACATTTTTATTTACTTACAGAAACTATTTTTAAGAATAACTGTATAGTTATAGCATTCCTTAAGTTGAAACTTCAAATAACCGTTATCAATGATTAATTCTAAAAAAGCATATAAAACAACAAAAAAGCATATAAAACTCACCTTATAAAAAAAATACTGTACAAGGGTAGCTATTCTGATATAATAAAAATGACCATGAACAAAAAGGAGTTTGGAGAGGAATTTAAATCTAGCTATTGCATAGTCACTGTTTCTTGCAGCCTGCCTGCCTTCTTTACCCATGATTCCTGTAAGAAAGAAGAGAAAAGGTGTATGCTTGCTAATGATAAACAGGTAACTTTCATGATATTTCTGTAAATATCTCATTAATAGTAGTTGAACCCGGGCTTAGGAACACTAACTCTACTACAATGATGGCGAACTGTTTAGAGGTTGCAATCACACACAGCTCCCTGTGGTGCCCGTGCCATAGCCTCACCACCACTGTCCTATTATACAGCAGCTAGCAGCTGTCCAAAAAGTTATTCTACTTAAACACATAATTAACATAAAGCTACAATATGTATCAGATATACAACACCTACAGAGTCCACCAAAGAGCATACGCACTTCAGGAAAAGAAAAATAGTATAATCTTTTTTCTACAGATATTTACTATCCTCATATGGGGGACCCTAGTGGATATCTTCTATATCACAAAAACCCACTACACTGCTGGCCGTACGAGAAGAAATAGAAAACACATGCGCAACAATCTCAATGACCAAGGTTATACAAGTGGCAGTTCTCTGTACTAATAAATGTCTGGAAGGTTGGATTTTTTTTTTTTTTTTTTTGGGTACTGGGAATCAAACCCACAACCTTGCACTTGCCAGGCAGGTGCTGTGCCGCTGAACTATATCCCCGGCCCCAAGGTTGGATTTTTTGAGATAGGGTCTCACTATGCAGTTCAGGCTGGCCTCGAACTCATAGTGATCCTCCTGCCTTGGCCTCCTGAGTGTTGGGATTACAGGCGTGCGCCACTACACCTGGCTAAATGTCTGGAAGCTAATGGCCACCACTCTGAGCACCTCTTCTAATTGTAGAGGCCAAAGGTAACTTGTATTACTCTCATGATGTCTCAATAAACTTAGTATTAAAATATTTATATGAGTTTTTATTTTCCTGAGGTGTGTGTGTTTTTTCTGTGGACTCTGTATTTTCACAGAATGAGAATATAATTTAAAGAAATACAATTAATATAAAAGGTATCAGTTAATAAACTTGTGATAGAAAGATTTCAATAAAACAGCTTTGGAGCTAGGCATGGTGGTGCATGCCTATAATGCCATCACTTGGGAGGGTGAGGCAGAAAGATCATTGTGAGTTTGAGGCCAGCGTGGGCTACAAAGTAAGTTCAAGATCAGCCTGAACTGCATAGTGAGATCCTGTCTCAAAAAGACAAAAACAAAACAAAACAAAACAAAACACAGCTTTGACTTCACTAGTTCCAATAAATGTAAAATATATTCAAACTGAATAATCTGAACCTACCAAAATATCAGTAAATTTAACTGCCTAAACACTGTCATGCGAAAAAAAGCACATGCCAATAGCTCATGTCATGCATAAGCTAAACTGTGTTTTTTAATATACATAAAATTTTGAAATAAATTTTTAAAAATGCATAAACTGAAATCAGTGAATCATTTTAGCTGGAAAATAGTTTTTAATATTACAATCATCCTTTAGATTCCAAAAGGGCAAAAGAGTAACTGTCAGGTTTAAAAGTAAACCACTGTTTCTAGTCTGTATCTTCTCAGAGGGCTGGGGATATAGCTCTGTGGCACAAGCACCTGCCTGGCAAGCATAAGGTCCTAAGTTCGATTCCTAGTACCAAAAAGAAAAAAAAAAAAAAAAAATTAGTGTGTATCTTCTTAGAATCTTTGTCTGTAGCTATATGTGAAATGTAGATGAAGTGATATTTGTTTGTAACCTGTATTTGTTACTTACTGGACACTATAATATGTATCAATATGTTCAGTTATTTTCTTAAAAGAAAACACGTAATTGGGTGCATAACTGCAAGGTCTTTAGGCACAGAGGTAAAATTTGTTATGCATAACAATGCAGGGTGTACCAATCTACTCTCCTACGGATATGGAATAAGATCATCTGTTAATTTGTATCACTGTCAATTTGAGGTTCTCAAGCTTTGTACTTGCTGCCAGTCTGACAGATAATTTTGACTTGCACTCTTTTGACTGCTAAGAGATTGAACATTTTTTCCATAAATTTAGCATTCATTTTGTAACAACTAATGGTTCACATCCTTCTGCCTATTTATTTTCTTTCTTTTTTTTTTTTTGTCTTTTTGAGACAGGGTCTCACTATGCAGTTCAGGCTGGCCTTGAACTCACTTTGTAGCCCAGGCTGGCCTTGAACTTACGATGATCTTCCTGTCTCAGCCTCCCAAGTGCTGGGATTACAAGCATGCGCCACCATACCTGGCTCTTCTGCCTATTTCTACTGGAGTGTAATTTTAATTTTTCAAGACTTCAAAAATTAGTAATATTAACCCTAATTAGACTTTACTATCTATTTTCCAAGTATTCTTTACTATTTCATCTTCAAAATTTATTACAGGGGAGTTTTTACCTCTGCCCCATATACTGACGTGTTCCTCCTTCTTTTGGTATTATGTTTAGAGGCTCTTTTCACAACTCAAATAACAAGATCATCATTAAATCTTCTTAAATACCTTTTATAGTCTTTTAAAATGATTTACATTCTTAATTCATCTAAAATTTATTTTGCTGTAACAGAAAGGGACCGAACTTGTTTTTCCAAATAACTAACTAGTGTTAGGGATATTTTTTACTGAGTAATGTGTTTTCCTATTTGAACCATCTCTAAATGTATTATTTTGTGATTTAATGGTATAAAAAGTTATCAAACTGTTGTCATTTATGGGGGAAAAAAACCCAGTACATTAACTAGAAAGCAGACTGAATTTTTGTAGCCTGGGCAATTTAGTGAGACCTAGTCTCAAGAGGGAAAAAAAATAAAAAAGGCTGGAGCTCAGTACAAAGGTCCTGGGGTCAATCTCCAGTGCTGCACAAATGGAAAAGAAAACATTTTCAGAGGAATAATTCACTGTCCCAAGGAGAAGGAGGTGACTGGAGAGAGAAGTTAGAAATATCAGGCCTGGTAACTCCCTATCACAGGAGAGTACACTGAACGCTCTAGAACGGGCACTGCCTCACTCTCCTCTGACTCTTCAGTTTTAAACTTCAAGAGGAAACTCATGTCCAAACTTTTCTCTCTTGCTCTGCATTTGTAAAATAAAGTGACAGAGGAAAGCAGATGAGAATATGTTAAAACAGGAAATGATTAATAAATGTCATCATTAATACAATGACACAAGCACTCTGGATTTAATAAAAATCTGAGGCAAAAGCAGAAAATAAATTAGAAAAAGGCTTATTAAAATGAAAAAATTATCTGAGATTTTGTTATTACTTTTGGATGTAATTTCTCATCTCTCAAACTGTTCTGAAGATACACTGTAGAATCTTTAGTTTCACAAACCAGTAGTAATGTAAAATAAATGAGGGCAACTATGTAAATCATAAATTTAGCTTAAAACTAAAATAAGGTGTGAGAATACTTTTAAAGGTACAAAATGGCATGTAAAAGCAGCAACTTTTATGATCAAGTAAAACTGACAAAGATAAAATTTACTATTGTGGTGTTTATTTCCTTTAAAATTTGGTAGTAAATATCCTAAGTGCTGGGCTTAACTGTAGCAGATTTCTAATGGAGGACATACTGTGATATATTACTATTTTGCATTTAGTTGTCACTCACATATCTGACACTGTACTTTAAAAAAGAAAAATTTAAAACCACCAAATAATTGTATCAACTTTAAAATTCAGGAAAAAAAATCAATCACCTATGCCAACATGTGCTTCTTGTATCATGCTTACGTCATTAGCACCATCGCCAACAGCCAACGTTATAGGTCTCTCTGGTGAGATTTTTATCAGTCTAATTACCTGAAAGACATACAATAAAACAGTTCTTCATGATAAAAATCCAATTTTCTTCAATTTGTAGGAAGTCATTTATCTGAAATAACTCTATAGAATTAAATGCATTTAATTTTAAAAAATAATTGTGGAGAAAACTGCACTTAATTGAACTCTTTCAGGTAAAACTTTCTTTTCTCAAGAAATTGTAGCTTTTATTTGACGTAAGAGGAAAGCCAACTGTTTTCTCTTGTAATAAACATAATCTGAAGTTTTAAAAAAGCAACCAATAGCAGATAAAAACAGATGTCTGTGGAATTCCTGAAAGTACTTTTAGTAAGTACCTAGTTTTGTTTGGCCTCCAGTTTTAAGTCTCCACAGACTGTGATACAATAACTGTAATAAAGGCACTGTAACAAAATCCCATGAAACCAAAGAAAAGCTGGATGCTGACTTTATTAGATGTATACGTGAAACAACCAGTAGTATTTAGATGTTCACTGAAAAGGATGTTTGAAAACGATACATTCTAAGACCTCAACTTCCAAATGTAAAATTGTAAAATAAAGATGTGTATATCCTTTCAGTTACGTAGCTAAAATGTAAATATTTCTTGTGTATAACTTCACAACAAAAGCCCTAATTATCACTTGACAGTCACTTTTAATGAAGAATTACCAATTCACAAGAATGTAATAAGGAGCAATCAATAGAACTGCCTCAAGGTGCAGATGAATTCATGTTTCCTAGGGTCCTTCAGTTATGAAGTAACTAATTTGGGTAATCATAAATTACCACAGTTCGAATTTGTGTCTCAGCAAGATCACAACTGCTAAACACAGACTTTCAAGGTCATTATGAGTATCTGAAACTTGCATATTTACTTTGAGAATTCTCAAAGTCTCATGTACATGGTACAAATTTAACAGTACAGGAAGCAATTGATTCCTAGAGTAACAGTCATATACTGCATACCACCAGATAAAACTATGGAAGGTATTAATCCTAGAAAATACTTTTAGATCTAGATATCTTTATGGAACTTTTTATAACATGTACGTACTTTTGCTTTCTGCAACGGTGCCATACGACAGCATAATACAGCTGAACAATTTCTGCAAACTTCCATAAATAGCCTTTCATGCTCCCTGAGTGCAAGAGACAGGCTGGTCCCATCCACTACCAACCCATGCTGAATCACATGATCCTCTTTAATTCTAGAAGAAAATACATTATCTGTAAGACACTTTGAAGCCGTATTATTTATACTCTGAGCAAAAGATTTGTATGGTAGTTCAATCACAGATTTTAGTATTTATTATAAAATGATATACCAGGGAACACACTCAGTTGTACTATCTGAACATGAAGATTTAGAAAAACTAAGAGTTACTGATATGATGAATAAAACAGATGATACTCAATCTTACAATGAAGTGATACACAGTAACTATATTTTCTAACGTGTATACTGTAACACAATCTGAGGGTATTTTTCCAAACCAAACTGTATGAAAAGTCTTATGAAAATGAAAATATTTACTAGCTATACCTTTAGAAAACTATAATTTAAAAAGTAAATGAAATCAGGAATGCTCAGGAAAATCCAAGAGCTTGATTTAAAATATTCAAGGAGGAAGGAAAGGAATGAAGGCATCAGTAGCATATCTCTTGACAGTAAGCCCCACAATGGACTCCAGTAATGCCTGCCAGCCCCATGATGGTACAGGAGTACGTGTCACTTGAGGGCACCTGCTAAACAAGTGCTACTCGAAGCGTGGTCTGCTTACTGGCAGCGGGGCAAACTATCTGTTGCCAGGAAGAGATAAGGTGCATAGACCACTGTGTAAGTTAACCATATCACTAAGCACACTAAAATGTGCGTGTGACTGTCCCTTCAACTCGCCAACACTACTTTGGTAGTTATGAATGTTTTGAAGAAAGTAGTGCATTTGTCTCCTTCTGGTGCAAGCTCCTTTATGTCGCTGAAAGTCAGCACATGAGGTAGCCCTGAGGTACATATACCACCAAGAAAGTACAAACTGTACAAAACTGCAGACTGCTGTGGGAAAATATCCACGTGCCCCTGTCCCCTTTTTGAGGCAGGCTGGCTCTGAATTCACTATGTAGCCCACGTTGGCCTCAAACTTGTGGCGATCCTCCTGCCTCAGCCTCCTGATCATGGAGATTAGAAGACTTTAAAAAGTACACTTAAACTGGACACAGTGGTGCATATCTGTAATCTCAGCACTTCTGGAGGCTGAGGCAGGCTGATTACAAGTTCAAATCCTGCCTGGACAACTCAGCAGGATCTTGTATCAAAATTAAAAAGGGGGCTGGGGATTCTAGCACAGTGGCAGAGCACCCTTGGATTCAATCCCCAGTGCCACAACAAACAAAACCTTCAGTGTAATTATCTTTAGATGTTTGTATTGTTACTAATCACTAATATCTTCTTTATAATTTTCAGTATTTTTCAAATAGATTTTTTTTTAATCAGGAAAAGTATTTTAGAAGGCATAAAGTAAATGATCTTAAGCAATTCATTTCTATGTTTAGGGACTTTCTCTTGACATTATGGTACTGGATATATTTAAGCAGTCTGGATGGTGTTGACAATGCTTCTAAACTGCAGCATAATTAGGTCAATTGGCTAGGTCAACTGCCTTTTTATAATCAAGCAAGACTTTTCTAGTAGCAATACAGTCTTGTTTTTTTTTCAGTCTTTAAGAAATATCTTTTAAAAGATTTTCTTTGATGAAATCTAGACCTCAGTACCATATTACTACCTATGCAACAAATACAAATAAAGCACTGCATATACATTAACAATGATGCCTTGTCTTCTGGGGTTTGTTTTTCTGTATTAGCATCATGTGTTGTCTGCAACACATAGTAGTTGCAGACCTAGTACGCACACATATAGCGATGAGGCCTGATGCTCACACTAAGGCACACTTAAACTGCACGTTAGTTTCTGATGCAAAGACTGTGGTAAAGGTACCAAATAAATTTGATCTCCCTGTAAATAGGTTTACAAAAAAGAACTGAAGTATAAACTTTTATGAAATAATACTGAACAGTAAAATGCAGATTAATTTCCCAGTTTGCTTGTCTGACTAGATCAGGGCTCAGCGAATGTTTTCTGTGAAGGTCCAGATAGTAAATATTTCAGATTTAGGCTTTGTGGGCCAAAAGGCAAAACTGCAGATGTTGTACAGGAACTTACACAATGAGAAAAGAGACTTCAACAGAAATTTTATTCTGTATTTTTGTTTTTATTTTTGTTTTTTTCCGGTACCAAGAATTGAACTCACGACCTTGCGCTTGCCAGGCAGGCGCTGTGCCACTGAGCTAAATCCCCAGCCCCCAACAGAAATTTTATTGACTAAGTTAAAAATAAAGTAATAATTGAGTACATTTTTGAAAACAATAGAGTGTACTAATGGTAAGGACTGGAAATCTTTTGGGAGGAGAATATGTCCTCAAATGGGGTTCAAAGCTAATGTTTCCTATCACTGAGATCCTCTGAGGGCAGGAACGCAGCTCAGTGGCAGAGCACTCGCCTGTTATGCACAAAGTCCTGGTTTCAATCCCAGAACCACACGGAAAAAAAAAATTAATTGCAAACGTTCACCTGTTAATGCTAACTATTGAACTCCAGTGAGTCTTTCTCTCTGATATCTAACTGAATAATCAAGTCCTTCCCTTCCACTGTGCCTTAAAATTGTGATATTAAAGTTTACTTTTCTCTTGTTTTGCTATGATGGCTATACAGTGACAATACAAAATAGTAAAGAGTCACAACATGGTGCCATGTGTAGCAATCAAAAGACTGCCGTGCCGTAACTGCGTCTCTGAGGTCTGTCATGTACAGGCAGGCAGCGGTGTGCAATCATGAAGGAAGGCTTTGTGCAATGAGGCAACTGCCGCAGTGGTAAAGCAGTCACTGACAGGAGGTAAATGAATGTATGTGGTTGTGTCCGATCAGACCTGACTTATAGATACTGAAATCTGAATTTCATGTCACTTTCAAATCATGAAATAGTCTTCTTTGGATTATTTTTCATTCATCAAAAATGTAGAAACTACTTTCAGCTCATGCACTGTAAAGAATGACCCGCAGACGACTGTTTGATAACCCCAAAACTGCATGACCCAATCTTCTTACCTTCTGGCAAGCTGCCTCAACTGCTCAGCACATTCGTTGTCTGACTTCTGATTAATAAGTTCAAGGATGTTCATCGTCCTATGAAAATGTCCACACGATAAACTCACACTAACAGCGGTTTCGTGTTTATCGCCAGTAAGGACCCATACTTTGATACCAGCCATTCTCAGTGCTTCAATCGTTTCTCGAACTTTATCTTGTAGTCTAAAAATCAAAGAAAGAAAATTGGTTGAAAAGACCACTTTTCTGACCACATGCTAACTTATAAACCATATAGCACATGCATAGTCAAGTCAGGACCTGACCTATGAATGTTGCTTTATAACAATGCAAATGAAAATTTCCCCCATTTGGAAGAAACAAGAATAAACTGACTAGTAATTATCTTAACCACATGAAATCAACCAGTTAAAATCTACAACTTCAGCCAGGTGTGGTGATGCACGCCTATAATCCCAGCACTCCGGAGGGTGAGGCACGAGGATCTGAGTTTGAGACCAGCCTGGGCTACAAAGTGAGTTCAGGGCCAGCCTGAACTGCATAGCAAGACCCTGTCTCAAAAAAAAAGAATATATCTGCAAAGTTGATTTTCATGAGACCAAACTATGTAGTCTCCATAAACGTGTATTTTATTTGAAAGTCTTACTGTTACTATTTTGGTGGTGCTAGGGACTGAACTAAAGGCTACATGCATGCTATGCAATTGCTCTGACACTGGGCTATGTCCCCACCCTTATGAGTTCTTAAATATTAAGTCAAAGGAAATTTCTCTCCCTCTCAATAAGAAAGGACCTCAAATCACTCTTGTGTGTTTCTTTTTGGAGACAGGGTCTCACTATGTTCAAGCTAGCCTTAAACTCCTAGTGATCCTCCTGCCTCAGCCTCCCAAATGCTGGGGTTACACAGATGTGTGTGCCATCATATTCGGCTTCAAATTACTCTTAATAGTTAAAAAATTAGACTGTGGAAAACAGAAGATAATACTAGAACTATAAACATACAATAATAGAACTATAATAATAGAATCTACAAAACATAAAGACTTGCAAAAAAAATTCTGATTCTGTTATGTGTCTGGAAAGGTCTTTCGGGAGTTGAGTTAATACCTGAGCTGTATTTTATAAATAGGTATTTGTAGATGGAGAGAAGGATCATCCAATGTTATGGTTTGTGTCTGGGTGTCCTCCCAAAGCCTCATGCGGTCATGGGGCAGGCTTTTAGAGTTTGATTGATTATGGGTGTGACAGCTACACCCGCCCTGGGGTGGACAGTTTGCATATGTAAGGGAGAGGAAGAGGCTGTTTGCTTCCATTCCTCCCTTTTGTGTTGTTGCTTTTGCTGTGTTCTGCCGCCATGAGCTGTAGCGCTCTGCTATGTGCCACTCTGCCTTGTAACCTGCCAAGTATGGACTGAAACCTCCAAACTGTAAGCGAAATAAACCTTTCTCCTTCCTTAATTTTGGGCATCACGTATTTTGTCCCAGCAACGAGAGAAAAGTAACCAAGACATCCAGGTAGAAGGGAGACCCTTGCCCAGGAGCAAACTCACCAAACAGAAGTGTTTTCACTACTGCTGGTGTGCAGTGCCGTATTACTGAAGCGTAGAATAAACTGAAGCAGTGGTGGAGAATTAAGCAGGTGCTTAACGTCGCTATAAGGCACCCGGACTGAGGAGATTCCCAATACTCACGACTACAGGGAGAACTCCTCACCTATTTCAGAGATCTGGCTAGAACAAAATAGTATATACTGACCGGGAAAAAGCAAGGCTTTAATTATCTTGATTTTAAATATATTAAGTTATTATGGGTGTTAACCAGAATTTGTTTATTGTATCAGAACAGCTGGCTAAAAATGTAAGAAAAATCATCCTGATTATTCATCTGACACTTACCTGTCTTCTACTGCTGTGGCCCCAAGTAGTACCAGGTCCCTCTCTATGAACTGGAAGACTTCAGCCAGTTTTTCTTCCCGCTGCTGCAAGGCAGTCCTGGCTTCAAAAAGGCGTCTGTCTATTTCTTCGTACTCTTTAGGTGTAAACTGTCTATAAGCTACACACAGAGTTCTTAACCCTTTCTAAAACAAACACACACACAAATTAAACACAACTAATGAAAGTCAGGAAGTTACCGAAATAAACTGAGGTCCCTGGGTTTAATCCCCAACCCTGCAAAAACAAACCATGAATGAACTCGCCCTGAACTGAGAACCTGTTACCAAAACATTCAATTATGAACAAGTTAAAAAGGACTATCACTTGGTGGTATGAAAGAAATGAAGTGTTACAAAGTCCTAGAGTTCTGAGTTATGGGTCACATGTTATCAAGAGCTCTTTCAGTTTTTAATCAGCTCCTAAAAAGCTGCTCAAAATGTTTAGTTATTGAACTGTACAGCATGAGGGCCTAGAAAGGACTATAAAAACTATCTTATTTGTGGTTTTAAAACTTATACATGGAAAGTTATAAAGTTCTACCTTGGTATCTCAAGACTATCCAGAGAGAGACAGCATCAGGTTCCGGTCACCTGTTTTACTATACAAATCTATTTTACTTAATTTGTAAGATTTATTTTTTTAAGCAAAGGAGACCACAAAATTTGCCATTCAAATGAAGAAGTCTACAAAATACTATTGAACAAACTGTATTTTCTAGATCTATCAAACTTTTCCTGCGGAGATAATACTTCAGATAAAACCCAGAGACATTCTACCACTGAGCTACATCCCTGGCCTTTTTTATATTTTATGTTGAAACAAGTTCTAAGTGGCCCAGGCTGGCCTCAAACTTGCCATTCTCCTGCCTCCGCCTTCTAAATATCTAGAACTGGGCCAGGCATGGTGGAGTATGCTTGTAATCCTAGCACTTTGGAAGCTGAGGCAGGAGGATCACTGAGAGTTCAAGGCCAGCCTACACTGTACAGTGAGACCTGTCTCAAAAAGGCAAAAAGAATTGCAGGCATGCACTGAGGGCCTGCCTCACTGCATGATTTTATCTTCACCACTGAAGAATTGGAATTCATTCAAAATGTAGGAATACATATTGTATTATATGATTCCAGTGGGCTCAAATTTTTCTTAGTCTCAAAGTTGCTATCTAAATCTAAAGGCATACTCTTTTTCTTGCTATTTTCCTCAGAAAAATCTATAATAAGGTTCTAATACGAAAACTAAGAAGAGAAGATTTAAAAATACATGTCAGTATTTAGCAGATTTTAAAATACAGCAGTGGCATTTTCATCACCCTCAAAGGAATCCTACACCAATCAGCGCTCTCTTTTTTCTTCCCAGTCCCTGGCAACTGCTGCTCTATCCAATTCCTTTTCTATGAACCTGCCTATTCTGCCTATGGCATTTCACACAGAAGTGATATGGAGCCTTGTGTAACGGGCTTCTTTCAGCAGTCTTTCCAAGGTTACCCTTGTTAGGGAATACACGAGTACTTAAGTCCTGTCAACGTCAAAGTAACATTTCATTATATGACATGTCATGTCATATCTATCCATTCATCAACTGGGGGTCTGGGCTTTTCCACTCTTGACTACTAAGAGTAATAGTGCTAGCTGGGTGCACGCCTGTAATCCCAGCACTCGGGAGGTTGAGGCAGGAGGATCGTTGTGAGTTCGAGACCAGCCTGGGCTACAAAGTGAGCTCAAGGCCAGCCTGAACTGCACAGGGAGACCCTGTCTCAAAAAGACCACCCCCCCAAAAAAGAAAAAATAATGCTGCTTGTAAACACTGATACACAGATTCAGTGTGGATCTATGTTTTCAATTTTTCTGGGGGTGTATGTAGGAGTGGCATTGCTAAAATTTCCTCTTGAGAAACTACCCAACTATCTCCCAAAGTGGCTAAGCCACTTACAATTCAACTAGCAATGTATAAGGTTCTAATTTCACATTGTCAAAATTCTCCTATATTCTTTCAGTAGCCCTGTTCTATGGAGTGAACCCAGCCTGGTACATGCTAAGCAGGTTTTCTACTACTGAGCCATATCGCCAGTCGCATTTTTTCTTTTCTTTTTTTAAAGGCAGGTTCTTAGCAGGGCACTGTGACACACAGTACCAGCCACCAAAGGCTGAGGCAGAAGAATTCCTGGAACCCAGAAATTAAGACCAGCCTGGGCTCAATTCTAAGCCTCTGCCTCCCTGGTGGCTGGGGCTATAGACGCATGCTGCTCCGCCTGGCTGAATCCTTTTATTTATTTAATTCTTCTGTCCTAGGGATCAAAGCCAGGACACCGAACCTGCTAATAAAGTGCTCTCACACTGACCTACATCCCAAGCCCCAAACCCTCTTTTGAAATTGTAGTTTGAAGGCAGGTGTGAGGGTACACAACTCATCACAGCATTCTTGAGAGGCTGAGGCAGAAAGATCCTAAGTTCCAGCTCAGCTCAGGCCACTGAGCAACTTAGTGAGACCTTGTCTCAAAATAAAAAATGAAAAGGGGTGGGGGCACTGGGAAGGTAACGCAAAGGCCCTGGGGTCAATTCCCAGCACCACAACAAACAAGCAAAGTGGTCCTTGCAAGAAGAAATACCCTCAGTATGTTTGATGAGAAAACTTGCATTTAGCAGAGTAGGAAAAATTTTACATAAAGAAGTGGAGCCAACAAATAGTGCAAGAAAACTGCAGAAGTTCCATAATTTTTGATACTTAAAAAAAATGAAGTCTCAAATTTTTCATGAATATGTCTTTTAGAACTTTTTTTTTTTCCTCTTCAAGTGCTGGGGAATTGAATGAGGTTCTTCACACTGAGGTATATTTCCCAGTGCTTTATTTTTTTATTTTGATAGAGGGTCTTGCTAAATTGCTAAGTTGTCCAGGCCCTCGTGCCTCTACCTCTCAGAGTGCTAGGATTACAGGCACGTGCCAATAGGTCTGGCTTATATTTTTTCAATCATAGTAATTTTTACTCACCAAAGCAAATTCATCTACATGAATTCTGGTTTTCTCTATTTCTCCACCTATGCATTTAGGGAGAATTGATGATTCCGCTCCTTTAGCAAATAAGAGCTTCTCACCTAAAAAGAAAAAGGAAGTTATCAAGTTCTTACCAGATACCTAAGAACTCGTGAAAGTTGACACTGGTTACCTGAACATGCTTGAACAATTACACTCATTCTCCGACGATCTGAATCAAATTCCAGAACATGAAGCAGTTTGTACCTAAACAAAATAAAAAACACAAAAACCTTACTCTTTAACATAGTAAGTGTCTATCTGGAAAGAATCACTACAAAAAATGAAATACAATTTAAAATAAGAAATCTGCTCAATTATATCTTCATGTTATGGGTTATGAGTCATTAACAATACTAGACAGAAATAGAAGTAACTGACATTGAGCCTGCACCAAATGCCACGTACTTTATGTATCTATGTCATTTAGTCCCCAGTAGAAGTCAAGAAAGCAGATGAAGACTATTAACATCAGAAACACTAAGTGATTTGCCTAAAGTTAAATAAGCTTGTAAGCAGCTAAGCAAGAACTGTAATCCAGCTGTTCTGCTCCATGTTTTTCTCACTAAAAAGAGGTGACTGATTCTCTACCCTCTTTTCTGCGCTACTATCTCTGATGACAAACATACATACACACATATTGGGCTCATCACAGCCAGGGATTCTGAACATGGGTGCACTGTGTGTGTGTGTGTGTGTGTATGTGTGTGTTTTGTGGATCGTGGATCAGGAAACAGATACCTGTCTAGAGAACTGAAAAAGTATGTGGATGGGTGAGACTTGGCTTGGCCATCTTTCAGGTGAATCGTATACAATGATATACATATGGAATACTTTACATATCTCAAGAAAAAATAGTGAGTTAAGTGATAGTTTATACATTGATGAAATGTGTTAGACAAGCTTCCACAAGACAGCAGCCAAACGGCTTGGGACATCTCTCAGTAGTAGAGAGCTTGGCTTTCATGTCTCATGCCCTAGTACACAAAATAAAAAACAAAAACAAAAGCAAAATGAAGTAACCGAAGAATGGGCCCCATTAGGTATGCAAAAGCATAGTTTGGAACAAATGGTGTAAGTATAATAGGCATGAACTAACTTATTAGAGTAGAAATACTGGAAACAGACAATGTTGGAAACGTAAAATTATAGGAAATATAAGGAAAAGCTGGGCAAGGTGTAGATCAGTGACAGAACACTTGCCTAGCATGGGTGAGACTCTGAGTTTCAGTTGCAGCATGGCAAAAACAAACAAAAAATTATGCAGAGTGTTTTCTTTATTCAGTGAGTAAAATCTATGAAACCAAAATCCCAAGAAAGTCTAACCTTTAAGTAAATTCATGAGCTAGTAAACTAAAATATTGATGAAAGACTCAGAATAGGAAATTGTGATGACATAAATGTAATACTGACATTATTTTAGAGCAGAGGTTAGCAAACTTGTATTTTACTTTTTTTGTTGTTTTTTTAGACAGGGTCTCACTATGCAGTTCAGGCTGGCCTTGAGCTCACTTTGTAGTCCAGGCTGGTACTCCTGCCTCAGCCTCCTGAGGGCTGGGATTTAGATGTGTGCCACCATGCCTGGCTGCAAACTTTTTTAAAGAGCTAAATAATAAATACATTTTTTCTTGCTGCATATTCTTTTTTTTTTTTTCTAAATAATGCTTTAAAAATAAAACATAGTTTCTGGGCTACACAAAAATTGATTGGAAAAAAAACAGGTTGGAGGTCAGATTTTCCTGGGGGCAACAGTTTACTGATCTTTGTTCTTTACTATATAGCTAATAAGAGTATCACAATATATGGAAAAAAATTACCGTTCCAGTTTTCCAAGTATTTTAATTTCCATAATTTCTTCAGAACTGCCAATAAATACAATGCCAATTCTAGGGATTAAAAGAACAAGAAACGTAAGATTTTAAGGATGACATTTATTTTTATTACACAGATTTTACAGTAAGCAATTTTTTAGATATCTTTGAAAACTTAAAATGAATTTATGCTTAAAAATTCCACATGATTCTTTACTATTCTAATGTTTGCTTAAAAAGTGTCTCTGTGGCTTAGAAAATCAGACTAAACCACCTTGCGGCAGCTTCTACCAGAGCCTTCTCGTCTGGGGAGGATGCGTAGTACTCCAGCTGGGGGGATGCCAGGCTGGCCTGCCAGGGACCGTCACCGATGCCGTCGCTTTGAACATGGCTGATCTGCACAGTGTGGCAGAGACTAACTGCTTTGAAGAAGAGATCATGTCCTTTAATCTGCAGAAACACAACATTCAAGATACAAGGACTGTTCCCAAACACTACTTAGGAAACCTGACGTAGTTCCTTTTTTAGTTTTCACTAGTGATGAAGTCTAGGACCTCATCCATGCTAGGCAAGTGCTCAATCACTGAGCTACATCCCCATCCTTTTATTTTGAGATAGGGACCTGCTAAGTTTGCCAGGATGGCCTCAAATGTGTGATCCTCTTGCCCTAGTCTTGTAGCTTGGATTAGAGGCATGGGCCACCATGACTGGTTCAGAAACAGAATTTTAAGTGCTGGAACAAGACTGTCACATCTTGGGTCACCTGAATAAAAGCTGGTTGCTTGTGACTTCAAAATATGATATGTCATAATGGCTTCAAACCCTTCAACATATGTACATCTTTATGAGAGGCACAGCCAAACTGCAAAAGTAGGACACCCACTTCCCCTTGCCCTGTGGATAAAGTGAAGTCTCAAAAATAGTATTAAATAACTTTAAGCTCTTTTTCTCATTAAAGTCTTTTGCACTTCAAGGCAGTAAAATCTTTTCTTAAGTCAGTTCTATTTAAACACTTGGACAGCCAGGAAAGGTATGCTGTACGTGATGAGTAAAACTGGGTTGCAACTACAGATTTTTATGGTTCTATTTTGTAGCACTAAGTCAAAGACGTACATTTCAAATACATATATTCCTTGCTCTACTGGACATTAACTTTTCCACTATCACTCATCAATTATTCAAGAGAATTAATTCATATAAAACCCTTATTTATTTATTCATTTAAAAATTGCTTACTAGTTCGGTTTCATTTTCAGGGCTGGTTCTAAAAGAGGAACTGCCTGTAAGATGGGCTAAGTTGCTAAGGTGGGAAAAACCACTAAGATAAGGTAAGTTTCCTTCTGAAGAGTCAGGTGTTGGTCCTTCAGGTACAAGTCTCCCATTGATTTCTTGGTACTTTATGCCATTAACTGAACATTCCCGGAACTGCATCTCATTCTCTGTCAGTGTTCCAGTTTTATCTGTGAACACATAGTCCACCTAGAGAGACAGAAAACAAAATAATATAAAACTTTGTGTTCATATTTCTACGCTGAAAAACGTATCTCCTGAAGTCTAGTTGGCACAGAACAATACACTAACGCTGAGATTCTTACAATCCAAGCACAAATAATAGAGAAGCCAAGGAAACAAAACAAGGCAACACCAGTATTTTAACTCTACATACACTCTGAAGTTTGCAGCATCTTAGACACACATTCATCTGTAGAGCTGATTGAGAATGAGGCATAGGAAGTTCATTTCTACCTCCTAGTTAAACTGTTTTATAAATAGCAAGGCTCAAGAATTATTGAAGAAAAGGTAGGGAGGATGCTTAACCTAGAAAGTGAAAGGGTGTCTGGGCCAGGAGCCACGGCAAAGAGCTAGGAATTGGAATACACAATGCTCACACAGTTAAGTCTTTGTACAAGAAGGATTGCCATAGGAGTCTGTCTGAGCTACTGCAATGATGAATATATATACACACATATATATGTATATATATATATATAAAAACATAAAAATATGTGGAATTTACCCCCAGGAAGGTTAAGATCCAACAAAAATCAGTCAACAGGACGGGGCTCAGTGGCACAGCGCCTGCCTGTCAAGTGTGAGGTCCTGAGTTCGGATTCCCAGTACCAAAAAAAAAAAAAAAAAATCAACATAATCGACCATATTAATAAAATGGTATTTGTCTTTTATTCAGTACCACCTCAGCCAGGCAGAAAAAAGCATTTAACCAAACCCAATACCCTTCATGATACAAACACTCAGCAAATTAGAAATAAAAGGGAACTTCTTCAACTTGTTAAAAGGTATCTACAAAACCCTATGGGTACCATACTTAATGGAATGCTTTCTCCCTAAGAGCAGAGAAATAAGACAGATGCATGTTACTATCACTTTTATGAACTTTGTACTGAAGAAGTCAGGCACGGTAACACATGCATATAATATCAGCACTCTGGGAGGCTGAGGCAGGAGCCCCATTTGGGCACCTTATCGACTTAGTAAGATCCTGTCTGTCAGGATCATTAGGAAAGAAGAGAGAAGTTACTCTGACTGAGGGGAAAAAGAGGTAAAACTACCTCCAAGTACACAGGAAATGACCTTGTATATAAGAATGAACCTAATGAATTCACTAAAATATTTACTTAAACTAATAAGTAAGTTCAATAAGGTGAGAGGATAAAAGATCAATATGCAAAAAGGTAGGCTTAAAATTGGAAAGAACTATTTGGCCAAGAGATAAAGATGAGTGAGAAACCACTTTGAAGTCCACATTATGGCCTGTAATCCCAGCACTCGAAGCTGAGGGAGGAGTACTGCCAAAAGTTTCAGGCCAGCCTGTGCTACATAATGATTTCAAGGCCAGCCTGGATTACAGAATAAAACCCTATCTCAAAAAAACAAAAAAACAAACAAACAAAAAAAGTGATGTGGACTAGTAAAACATAAATACAACACCTGACAAACAGGAATTCTGCTATGTAAAACAATAAAGTTGGTACAGTGACACACACCGAAAAGCCCCAGGTAGGTACTCAGGAAGCTGAGGAGGGTTAAGCCCAGGATTAAGGCTTGGGCAAGAAAGTGTGACCCTGTCTCAAAACCAAAAAAAGAGATAAACAGGATGAAAACCAAAAGTGAAAAAGAGAGAAAAAGAAAATCTTAGATTTACTCATGTGTCTGGATATATAAAGATGCTTCATGTGTCAAAGAGTTGTTTTGCGGTAAAAGCAAGCAAATGAAAAGCAAAGCAGTGAAATCTAGGGCAATGTATGTTGGGGATCATGAATTATAAACTGAGTCTAGAGGATGGTCAAAGCCTGTTCTTTTCCTGCGCTTGAGCCGGAGTGGAGCATGGAAACTCCCTGCTCTTTTCTGGTCACAGCTGGAAGCCGTGAGGCTACAGACTGGTGTGGTGCTTACAGGGAAAGATATGACCGCTAGAGAGGATAAGGCACCTGGAGGAACTACAGTTTCCTCACTGTGACCCCGTCTCACCCTATCCTTGTCTTTGCAAGAATGCTTTGCTCGTCTTACTAGCCCATGTTAGTCGCCACTACGCTTCCTGGAAACATCCACTGCCCTTCTTCACCCATTGTCCTTGACTCAGATGTAATGATAAATACCAAGGTTCTGGGTACCTCATGGCCTTTTGTTCCCAAGAACAACTGGTCATCCCTGATCCCTGCTGCACCTGCAATTTTAGTCTCCTTTTCTTTCTTTCTTTCTTGCTGTACACCATGACACCTTGCAGGAGACTGGGGACTCACTGCAGGAGTATCTGATAACTGGCGCTGTGGAAAGGGATCCAATGGGTTCCAATAACTATATATATTGGAAATGAAATACAATAATATCGGGATTACATAAAGAACTAGGAATAATATTAAAAGGCATAGTAACATTAATAAATAAATATTTATTAAATTCCAACTGTGAAATAACAATACCAGAGGGCTTTGGGTGCTACCTGGGCAGTGTGTGGAAGAGTACTGTTGCGATGTCTGTCTATTCTATAACACAGAATGTCTAAAATTTTAAAATCAAGAAAGAATACCATGTAGAAATAATGATAAATAATGGAAGGAACAAGATTTTAAAATGGGAATAGGAAGTAGGGGTGCAGCAAAATAGGGCTGTTTTTGGTATAAACTTTGTATGCTTTGCTCTGAAAAAATGAGAACAATAAAATCTTAGGATCATTTTTACCTGCCCAAGTTCTTCATTCAGGTCTGAAGTATTGACTTGAGCTTTCTGATCTGATTCCTCATGATAGAGATCAAGATCCCAGCCAATAAAAAATGATCCAAGAAATTTCTGCATTTCTACTGTTACATATAATGAAATTGGAATGATGAAATTGTAGAGTACCAGAAAAGCAAGGAAATCAGAAATAAATCTCAGAATCTAGGAAAAAAAAAAGAAATGATTATTTCATAAAGTAAAATACAAGAGAATCTCTTCAGTATTACTACAGAAAATGATCAGTTTCATGCATAAACAGACCATCACCCATTCTGGGTTAGAACAGTTATTACAATTTGAAATTCACTTACTGAATTGTCTTCTTAGCATTATATTTCCTCTGTATACTTAGAATCTTGATCAATGTAAAAAGGTTAAATTCGAATAACTTAATTTGTTACTCTTGGTCACCTAGTGTAACTGAAACTACCTTTGGGAAAATTGTAAATATAACCTTTGGAGTGCACTTCTGCACTCTATTACTCTTCAAAACCACGGAAAACTAAAAACGGAGTGTAACTTTAAAAACTTACAGCACAACTGCTACACTAGACTTACTAGAAGTTAAAACTATGATGTGCAGATTATACAGGGAAAGCCCCCCACCAGTGGCACCGGAGAAGCATACTCATCAGGCTTTCTGTAAAAGCACAACATTATAGATGAGAATGATGCTGAAAACATGACCCTGTATTTATCTGCTTTGTGGTCTTGCGAGAGCCAAATGTCTTCCAGTAGTATTTGTATTTTAATCTAAAGTAAAATATGGAGAACAATTTTTACCAAAATTATAGGTTATATTTTGTTGGTACTCCATATTTAAACAGTATAAAACTACATAATTTGTGAATTACCTCATATGTACCATCACAACTGACAATAAGACTTCTTGAATTATTCAGATGAATTCTCCTAAATTCATTTAATAAGGTACAGTAAACAGAAAAAGAAAACTGAATCTGCAGTACTAAAGTGGAAAGCAAATACTGCTGGATTTGACTTTTGGTGATATGTAGTTATTTGGAATACGCCCCGAACTCCCCCAAAGCATTCCAACAGACACGCTGCTGCAATGTTGCTCTGTCAGTGCTGACGGTTCCGTGAGATGACAGTGGTCCTTCCTATGAGAAATCATGACCAAAGCATTAACTGTGCCAAAAAGTCTGTTTTACAGCGAAGTTACGAACACCATAAAATACCTTACTACTATTTCTCTGATGTTCTGTCTTTTGGTTATACCAAGGTTCATCCCATTTTTCTTCAGCTTGCCATGTATATTTCAAGATAGTACTGATGATGGCTTCAGAAATAAGTATTATTAGATAAATTATCAAAAATGTGTTCATTGATCTGAAGAAAAAGAGAATATAAAACATATCAAATCTGTATTGCTATATCTGTTTGCTTAGAAATGAATATTTGTATTAAAATATTAAAATATGCGAAGAATTACTATAGCTATTTTGAAGGACATACTCTTTGTTTTCAGGGAAAGTTCACTCAACAGAATCAATTTACCAACAATAAAAGAAGTAATACATAAAGTGTTACAGTAGGTAATAGTTCTGCAACTTATTTTTGCTGAAAGTATTCTAGGATGTTATTTTTGTCTTTTATTTTCAGGGTCCATCTAATTATAAGTGTCATAAATACAAATATTATAACATTAAAATTTTACGAAGTTTGTCATATCCACTATTTTACTTCATCTTTATAAAAACCCTGTGAAGAAGGAATTACTAAGTCCTTTTAACTGATGGAAACCCACATCTAAAAGTAGTTCTGTAATTTCTCCAGATCGCCAGAAATCCACTTGAGAGCCCCCCTTCTCTTCATCAGGCAAGCCAAATGTGACACATCTGATTTTAGTGTTAAAACCATACATTTCTAATGTAATTAAAGAAATGCTATCTCATTTAAAAATTCAAATACAGATAAAATAATAGTATAATGAACCCTCAGGCACCCTCAGGAAAAATGCACATCACAGGCACTGTGAAGACTCTTGCTGATGGGAAAGGCCTGCGTTCTGAGTTTTCTCTCTAGGCCTTCCATAATTTAGCTGTATCTTCACTACACAAATAGTTGATATTCCAATATCTTCCAACATAAATGCTATACTACAGTGAGAATAAGGGGCCTACAACTGTTTTTGTGTTTGGTTACTATGTATTTGGCATCAAGTTAGCACTTCATCTACAGTACTGCTCACATTTTTAAAGATGAAAACATCTGGTTCAAGCTGGGCGTGTGGTGCACGGCTGTAATCCCAGCCCTCAGGATGCTGAGGCAGGAGCATCACTGTGAGTTTGAGGCCAGCCTGGGCTACAAAGTGAGTTCAAGACCAGCCTGAACTGCACAGTAAGAGCCTGTCTCAAAAAGACCAAACAAACAAACAAAAAAACATAAAAACCCAGTTCTACTGAATAAAACAATTGGTCCAAGGCCACATAGCTAACAAGCAAGGGATTTGAAGTTCAAATCTACTCCAAATTCTGACTTTTTACTCACCTTGCCCAGTCTCTTGTTCTCCCACATTGCCTAGTCTATCTCTACCTTCTGTCTCTGGCCGTGCCTGTCTCATCAGACACTCTCCCTCCCGCTTACACTGTGTAACTAATTTTTTTATTTGTTTAACCAAGTTTTAAATGTTTAACTCAAAAGCCATCACCTTCCTGAAGGCGGTCTTAATTAAATTTACATTCAACTCTCTTGTTTTAATTAAAACTTGTGTCATACCCTATAATTATTTATCTCATTTTCATTGTATATTGTTTTAACTTCCAAACTGACTGAGAACTATAAAAGCAGAAAAAAAATTATTGCTTAGAAAACCCTGCACTACAACAGAGCCACAAAAAAAAAGTCAATACATATTTCTAGATTGTTTTCTCAAGCAAAATTCTCTTGATAGTTTTAAAGTCTCTTAGAATTCATGGGTAAGACTTTAGACTGGAAACAATAACAGAGACAACCTCCCAAACTTTCTATGGCTATTAATGTATGAACTCTCATGGATCCTCTCTACTCAATTTCTACTTAATATTACGTTTTCAATATTATTTATCCTAATATGCTTAAAAATATAGATCATTTCCCAAGGTTGTATGTCAGCCTTGTGCATGGGCCATGTAAAACCCTATTGTTCTAATATATATGTGCTGCTGAAGCAAACACATGTTCAATTTTGAATTTAAAACATTTTTTGATATGAAGAAACTTTTTATCACAAAAACTGAAATACACATAAATAAAACACTATATAGTAATACATCACGTGCCCAGACAGCAGGAACAACTGTTGACATTTCACCATTTCTATTTCATCCATATTTTCTTCCATCCCAACTACCCATTTAATTTTTGTTTTTGTTTTTATTTTTTGCAACAGGGTGTCACTATGCTGTTCAGGCTGGCTTTGAACTATGTATTCTAGGCTGGCCTCCAACTCCTGGCAACACTCCTGCCCCAGTATCTCAAGTGCTGGGATTATAGGAGTGTGCCACCACACTCAGCTCATAATTCTCATTTTTTGTGGTTCTTTTATCATGTTATCTCATCAAATGCTTTAAAAAATTTTTGGTTTTGAAGTAATTACAGGCTCACACAGTTGTAAAAACAGTAGAGTCCCATGCAGTCTTAGTCACTGATTTTCCTAATTAGGAGATTACAGTGAATTAAACTTTAGATTTATTTTCATTATTCACAAACCTGTATTCATTTGTATGTGTGTGAACAGCTCCACACAACTGAATCCCACATACAGACTAACCACCATTACCAAGATACCAAAGTACTCCACAACCCCAAGAATGCCACTGTATCTGCACTTATCCCCAACCGCAGCCGTCTCCCGGCAGCGCGAATCTGTCCCTGTCACTGCAGTTTCATCATTCTGTGTGTGTCATACAAATGAATCGTGCAGCATGTAAAGCTCGACTGTTTTCACCAAGTATACTGCCTCTGATGACAGGTGCGGTGGCGTGTGCCTGTAATCCCAGCACTCAGAAGGCTGAGGCAGGAGGATGGCTGAGTTCAAGGCTACCTGGTCTACAAAGTTAAGTTCAAGGGTGGCCTGAACTGAACAGAGACTGTCTCAAAAACAAAACAGAACAAAAAAAACAAAACAAACAACCCCCAAACTAAGTATAATACCTTTGAGCTCTATTTGAGCTACTACATGGATTAATAACTCATTCTTTTACTCCTGATTAGTGTTCCATTATATAGATATACAAGATGTTTTGTTCAACTGTTCACTCACTGGGTTGTTCTAGATTTTTGCTATAACAAATAAAAGTTTGAACATGAACCCATCTGCAAATGTTTTGATGTTAGTAAGAAATTTATTTCTATGGGAAAATGCCCAAGAATGCAACTGCTAGGTCACAGGGTAAATATATATTTAGTTTGGTAAGAAACTGCCAAACTATATGTAGTGGATTGACAACTGGTGGTCA